ATCACATTAGTCCTGACTAGAACCAGGAAGTACCATCACATTAGTCCTGACTAGAACCAGGAAGTACCATCACATTAGTCCTGACTAGAACCAGGAAGTACCATCACATTAGTCCTGGTCTCAGGTCTCTGCACCTGTGGCTCAGAGAATAGACTTTAAAGCAGCTCTGTTTGTTACAAGTCTCTCCATGGGACTCTTGAGGAGCACAGGGACTGGCCTCCTGCTGGGACTCGGAGGAGCACAGGGACTGGCCTCCTGCTGGGACTCGGAGGAGCACAGGGACTGGCCTCCTGCTGGGACTCGGAGGAGCACAGGGACTGGCCTCCTGCTGGGACTCGGAGGAGCACAAGGACTGGTCTCCTGCTGATCCCAGAATCCAGACTAAACATAAGGAGGCAGCGTTTCAGATTTATGCAGCTAAAATCTGGAACAGTCTTCCTGAAAAAGTGAGACAGGCTTCTTCTCTGACAAAGTTCAAATCCTCTTTACTCTGGTTAATGTACTGCGATTATGTTATGTTTGATCTTGTTTTGTAAAGAACTTTGAGTTGCCTTGTGTATGAATTGTGCTATACCAATAAACTTGCCTTTAGCCTGAATACTTGAGGAAATGGGTCTGAGTCTAGAGTGATTCTGCTTGGTTGGAATGAAAACCTGCCGCCACAGCTGCCCTTTCTGGATCAAGTAAGTAAGTAAGTGATCTGTGGTCTAGAACGTCTCAGGATTCCCCCAGATGAGCTGGAGGAAGTGTCTGTGGAGGGGGAAGTCTGGGCGTCTGCTGCAAGGAATTTTTATTTATTCATATGGCGCAGTTCACAGACCAGACTCTAAAAAGGCGTTGAGATTCCCAACAGGAGGTGCATGCCAGAACTATTGTACATGTTTGTAGTGGTAGGGGAAACCGGAGCACCTGGAGGAAACCTACGCAGACACGGTGAGAACATGCAAACTCCACACAGAAAGGCTGGGAGGTGGAATCAAACCCAGGACCTGCTTGGTGTAAGGCTAAAGCCTAGAAGTGAAGGAAAATGGGTGGTATTAATAGCTCCTTTTGCTTCAGAGTCAAATGTCTTTTAATCTTTTTATAGTGTATTTTTTGAGTATTTTCTGTTATTTTCCTGGAAGTAGAGTGTTTGACGTCCGCGTGGATCCCGTCTCCAGGGGGGCGGGGGTCAGAGGTCAGTGGTGCTTCATGACCAGCAGGTTCTTGAGCATGTCGAAGGAGTTCCCGTCGGGCTCCAGGGACAGCAGGCCGCGCTCGGGACAGAGCACCTGCAGGAAACCGTTCTGGTCCAGTCCCACCACCTCCACCTCAGGGCCCTCCTCGCTCCAGAGACGCACCCTGCTCCCACTGAGAGCAGGGGGGGTGAGAGAGACAGGGGCAGATGGACAAAGGGAGGGAGGAACAGAGGGAATGAGACAGAGAGAGAGACAGAGAGAGCGAGAACGGGACAGAAAGGAGAGTCAGAGGGGCAGAGAGGCAGAAACAGAGGGAGAGAGAGAGAGAATGGGACAGAGAGACAGAGGGACAAAGGGAGGGAGACACAGAGAGAGAGAGAGAGAGACGGGCAGAGAGAGACAGAGGGAGAAAGAACAGGACAGAGAGACAGAGGGAGCGAGAACGGGACAGAAAGGCAGGGGGAGAGAGAGAGAGGGACAAAGCGAGAGAGAGAGAGACAGAGGGAGGGAGAGAGAGAGACAGAGGGAGAGACAGAGTGGCAGAGAGACAGAGAGAGAGACAGGGACAGAGACACAGAGGGAGAGAGAGTCAGAGGGGCAGAGAGGCAGAAACAGAGGGAGAGAGAGAGAGAACGGGACAGAGAGACAGAGGGACAAAGGGAGGGAGACACAGAGAGAGAGAGAGAGAGAGACGGGCAGAGAGAGACAGAGGGAGAGAGTCAGAGGGAGAAAGAGAGAACGGGACAGAAAGACAGGGGCAGATGGACAAAGGGAGGGAGAAACAGGGAGAGAGAGAGAGAGAGAGAGAGAGAGAGAGAGACGGACAGAGAGAGAGACAGAGGGACAAGCACAACGCACAGAACAAGTTTATTTCAGACAGTTAGAGCAGACATGTCCAACCAAGCCCTGTTTCCCATTTATTACATTGAATTCATTTGTACACACTGCAAAAAATGATAAGATAGGAGGTAATAAATGCTTGAATACTCAGACTTTACTACTTTTGACAATAACCCAGTGTCCTGTAGCTACTGAAACTTGATGGAGTCAAAATAATAAGTCCATAAACTCCGCTCTGACAACTCCGCCACAATAAAAACACACATATTAGCCGCATCGCAATATAAGCCTCAGCTCATAGTCTGTGAATGACGGTACATGTCGGATGTGTGTGTCTGACCTGTGGAGCCAGTGGCTGTAGTAGGCGGGCAGCACGGCGTCCGGGCCCTGGCTCTGGAAGCGGGACACGAGCTCCTCCAGCTGGGTGAGGGAGCGGGCGATGAGCTGCGAGGTGCTCAGGGGCCCCAGGGAGCTGCCGGTCTCCAGGTTGTGTCTCTGCACCAGGTCGTTGATGCAGACGGTGGGACTGCTGTTGGTCACGTTAAAGCCACAGCCTGAAGGACGCACAACCATCAGCGTCAGTCGGACATCGCCTCTTTCTTTGTGTGCGGTTTTACTTTTCAGTTTATTTGCCGTTTACAGTAAAACCGCGTTGGAATAATGTTGGGATCTTAAAAGTGGTAAAAAAAATCTGAATCCCGATCATTTGAATGGGAGCAGAGGATGTATTTTATGTGTTCTGTCTGTACGTCTTACCCGTTTTTCTTTTGTCTTACCTGTTCACTATGCATCTGTCCCGTCTGCAGCTTGTGTATTCTGTTCATGGATCTATTATAATAACTGGATAGGGTATTACTAGCTTGTAGCTGAATAACTCATGTGCTCGGGGGATTCTCGCGGTACTGCAGACTGAACCAGACTAAATTCACGTGGGCTACCCAGACATTTTCCTAGTATTGTATGTGTTTTGTATGTACATATTGTGAGTAAATGTTTGGTGACTGGGTTTGTCTGACATAAAAAATAAATAAATAAAAAAGTGAATGGGAGCCGTCAAAGTGTCTGCTGTGAGAGTCTTGGTGTGAAAGCAGAGGAGGACGTACCAACGAGGAGGTGGAAGGAGGAGCCCAGGACGGTGGAGGTGACCAGCACCCCGCCCAGTTTCTGCCCACTGCTGTGGTAGATGTCGTTAGGCCACTTCACCCTGAGGTCCACGTCCTGAAGATCACACGCACACACACACAAGAACACACACAGACACAGACACAAGAACACACGCACACACACACAGACACACACACACAAACACAGACAACCAAGATATGCACAAGAACACACGCACGCACATACACACAGACAGACACACACACACACACAAGAACACACGCACAGACACACACACACACACACACAGGGAGACAGACACACACATACACAAACACAGACACACAAGACATGCACAAGAACACACGCACACACAGTATCAATATTGTGTGTCTCTAGTTTTAATGTATAAAACTGAACAGAGTCTTTAACACATTAAGGCCTGACAACAACTGTTAAAACACACCTGGTAAAACACACCTGGTGAAACACACCTGGTGAAACACACCTGGTGAAACCTATGGCTGACTTCAGAGCCATCCTCTAAAACCTGAAATTTCCCTGAAATTCATCGTCTACAAAATGACATCTGAGCCTCTGTAACAGATAGTGAAAGAATTGGAGAGCTGAGACTTGAAATACGTTCTACCATTGGAACGTATGGAATACGTTTCCCGGCCTCAATGGGGTTTTTTTCTACAATGTTGTAACCATGTGTTCACCGTCTACATGTCCTGCAGGTGCTGAAGCCTCAGACACCATGTGACCTGTACCTCGTAACCCGGCAGTGTCCGCACGGCCAGCACCACGGCCAGCGCCATGAGGTGCTGCAGGAAGGGGATCCTCTGACCCAGACGGGACGACAGCGACACCTGCAGGCAGACTGTGAACATGGCACATCCCAGAGGACTGAGCCAGCCGTTCCTGCTGCGCCCTGCACACACACACACACACACACACACACACACACAGACGCACACACACACAGACACACGCACACACAAATTTGCTGGTTGTAGTTTGGCAATGGTGGAGATTTTAAATGATAGTAAAGTAATCTGCTCTGGTTCGGCTCCAAATATCAAGAAATTGAAGAAGTTGCTACTAACAGAGCCCGTGGGGCGGAGGGCAAAGGAGATGGCTAAAGCTAGGCTAAATGCTAAATGCCTCACTCACTAGGGCTCATTACATACTGAACTCAGATCCAATGGTTTCAATCTGCAAAAGGAGTTAACCCCTCCCACCTGTTAACGGAGTCAATGGAGCAAATCCAGACCTTAGTACTATGGTGTGGTAAGACCAGGCTAGATCAGGTCAGGTCCCAGCAGACAACTGAAGTGAAAGCAAACACACACACACACACTCACCTCGCCCTTGACTTTGACGCGCTGCCACCGCCACCAGACCCACATCAGAGGGAAGTCTTATGTTCCACCTGCCACAAGAACATTTCACAAGAACATTATTATCCAGGCTCTCTTTGGTTCTCACTTAAGGACCAATGGCTCGATGTGTTTGTTATTGTTGCATTTCTTGAATCTATCTTTTTATTGAGTTTGTATAATCTATGTTTAAGTCTCTGGTCTCTCTCTGGTCTCTCTCTGGCCTCTCTCTCTGGCCTCTCTCTCTGGCCTCTCTCTCTGGCCTCTCTCTCTGGCCTCTCTCTCTGGCCTCTCTCTCTGGCCTCTCTCTCTGGCCTCTCTCTCTGGCCTCTCTCTGGCCTCTCTCTGGCCTCTCTCTGGCCTCTCTCTCTGGCCTCTCTCTCTGGCCTCTCTCTCTGGCCTCTCTCTCTGGCCTCTCTCTCTGGCCTCTCTCTCTGGTCTTTCTCTGGTCTCTCTCTGGTCTCTCTCTGGCCTCTCTCTCTGGCCTCTCTCTCTGGCCTCTCTCTCTGGCCTCTCTCTCTGGTCTCTCTCTCTGGTCTCTCTCTGGCCTCTCTCTCTGGCCTCTCTCTCTAGCCTCTCTCTCTGGCCTCTCTCTCTGGCCTCTCTCTGGTCTCTCTCTGGCCTCTCTCTCTGGCCTCTCTCTCTGGCCTCTCTCTCTGGCCTCTCTCTCTGGCCTCTCTCTCTGGCCTCTCTCTGGCCTCTCTCTGGCCTCTCTCTCTGGCCTCTCTCTCTGGCCTCTCTCTCTGGCCTCTCTCTCTGGCCTCTCTCTCTGGCCTCTCTCTCTGGCCTCTCTCTCTGGTCTCTCTCTGGTCTCTCTCTGGTCTCTCTCTCTCTCTGGCCTCTCTCTGGCCTCTCTCTCTGGCCTCTCTCTCTGGCCTCTCTCTCTGGCCTCTCTCTCTGGTCTCTCTCTGGTCTCTCTCTGGTCTCTCTGGCCTCTCTCTCTGGCCTCTCTCTCTGGCCTCTCTCTCTGGCCTCTCTCTCTGGCCTCTCTCTCTGGCCTCTTTCTCTGGCCTCTCTCTCTGCTCTGGCCTCTCTCTCTGGCCTCTCTCTGGTCTCTCTCTGGTCTCTCTCTCTGGCCTCTCTCTCTGGCCTCTCTCTCTGGCCTCTCTCTCTGGCCTCTCTCTCTGGCCTCTCTCTCTGGCCTCTCTCTCTGGCCTCTCTCTCTGGCCTCTCTCTCTGGCCTCTCTCTCTGGCCTCTCTCTCTGGTCTCTCTCTCTGGTCTCTCTCTGGTCTCTCTCTGGCCTCTCTCTGGCCTCTCTCTCTGGCCTCTCTCTCTGGCCTCTCTCTCTGGCCTCTCTCTCTGGTCTCTCTCTGGTCTCTCTCTGGTCTCTCTGGCCTCTCTCTCTGGCCTCTCTCTCTGGCCTCTCTCTCTGGCCTCTCTCTCTGGCCTCTCTCTCTGGCCTCTCTCTCTGGCCTCTCTCTCTGGCCTCTTTCTCTGGCCTCTCTCTCTGCTCTGGCCTCTCTCTCTGGCCTCTCTCTGGTCTCTCTCTGGTCTCTCTCTCTGGTCTCTCTCTCTGGTCTCTCTCTCTGGCCTCTCTCTCTGGCCTCTCTCTCTGGCCTCTCTCTCTGGCCTCTCTCTCTGGCCTCTCTCTCTGGCCTCTCTCTCTGGCCTCTCTCTCTGGCCTCTCTCTCCCTGGTCTCTCTCTCTGGTCTCTCTCTCTGGTCTCTCTCTCTGGCCTCTCTCTCTGGTCTCTCTCTCTGGTCTCTCTCTCTGGTCTCTCTCTCTCTGGTCTCTCTCTCTGGTCTCTCTCTCTGGTCTCTCTCTCTGGTCTCTCTCTCTGGTCTCTCTCTCTGGTCTCTCTCTCTGGTCTCTCTCTCTGGTCTCTCTCTCTGCTCTCTCTCTCTGCTCTCTCTCTGGTCTCTCTCTCTGGTCTCTCTCTCTGGTCTCTCTCTCTGGTCTTAGCGGCCTCAGCTCCAATCACCTCCACACAGCTCTGTGAACATTTGTCAAACGTTATGACAGCTCTAAACGCTCCCAGTTGCAGGGGTGCAATCAGAGGGGGGTTGGGGGGGGTCAGAGGGGGTCCGCTACAGCCCCTTCTGAGAGAACTGTGTCTGCTCTGTGTTCGATCAGACTCACTGTGGTTCTAACCAGAAAACTGCCGACGGGAACATTGATGTCTGTGATCCCATCTACTCTGAGCAACAACCTTGTCCCGTCTCACACCAGAGAAAAGAAACATGACTTCGTCTGATTAATGTCATAAAAACTCTTGTACAGTGCAAAAAGTTATGAAAAATAAGGACAAAAATTACTTGTTTCGCCAAAATGTATTGTAATCTGAGCACATTCTGACTGAAATTTTCTAGTTTTAAAAAGACACAGAAATATCTCCCTTGGAATGAAAAAATAAGAAATAAGACTAAATGGCTTTGTCTCATTGGAGAATCTGGTTTGAATGTGTCGGAATAAGATAAAAAAAATAAAAAATAAACTGATTAATGCTGTTCTGACATGGATCGTGTTTTACTGTTTTGGCTGAGAGCTGATTGGCTGAAGTCCTCTCTTGTGGACAGAGGCCCAGAGAGAGTCCCCATCCTGTGTGGTTCTGAACTTAGGTTGTCTATTATGTACTTAGTGTGTACTGAAGATTTTGTATGCATGCCTCTAAATTGGTTTTTTACCTTGCTAACTTGTATACACTATGAACCAAACCACCTGCTTGTTAATATCAGTCAGAATGTGCTCAGATTAAGATACATTTTTGCGAAATGTTGCGCATTTTTTGACTTATTTGTCATCACTTTTTCTTTTCTCTGGTAGCCACATCAGTGCTGCATTGCGTGGCCTCAGTCCTCGTTCTATATAGACAGTTCTATGTATGTCTATGGTATGGTCTATGGTATGTCTATGGTATCCATCCATCCATTTTCTTCCGCTTTATCCGTTGCCGGGTCGCGGGGGCAGCAGTCTAAGCAGAGACGCCCAGACTTCCCTATCTACACACACTTCCTTCAGCTCGTCCGGGGGGACACCAAGGCGTTCCCAGGCCAGCTGAGAGACATAGTCCATGGTATGTCTATGGTATGTCCATGGTATGTCTATGGTATGTCTATGGTATGTCTATGGTATGTCCATGGTATGTCCATGGTATGTCCATGGTATGTCCATGGTATGTCTATGGTATGTCTATGGTATGTCTATGGTATGTCTATAGTATGTCTATAGTATGTCTATGGTATGTCTATGGTATGTCCATGGTATGTCTATGGTATGTCTATGGTATGGTCTATGGTATGAGAAATGAGATGAGATGAGATGTACTTTTATCATTATCTCACAATGGCGAAATTCAGTTTGATGAAAAACCATCAAGGCTGGCTGCGCACTATACTCCCGCGCTCTATGGTATGTCTATGGTATTGTCTATGATATTGTCCCACGTCCACCAGATGGAGCCATACTGTTTTTCTGCTATTGTCAGTGACTAAAAGTGTTATAGCGCGTTCAAACCGCAGATGCTGAAACGCTGACGCCTCACGCACCAGACGCACATTCTCTAAATTTCAGATGCAGGGGTGTTCAGACCAGAAGTCCTGCTGCGGTGGTGCGCGCCGGAAGTGGTAGTGGAAGTGGTAACCATGTGAGGACATGTGGGACCATGTGGAGCCTCACCCGTCCAGCATGTCCATGGTGGAGGAGACCACGTCCGCGTACAGGACTGTCCGGCCCAGCTGCTTGGTCCTCAGATGGGAGCGGTACGTCTGCAGGCTGAAGCTCTCTGGACACGGGGCCTCAGAGCTGTCCCACAGCAGAGACACCGGCCCCTCCACAGGGTCCAGCTCTGCCCCTGCCTCTGAGCAAGACACCAGTCTGAGGCAGGCTTTGGGCAGGCGCAGCAGGCCCCGGTCGTCAGCCTGGGTCCTCAGCCACGCAACAAATGATCTCTTTGCTTCCTGTGGACACACATACACACAGACACACAGAAACACACACACCCATACATGCCACAGACACACACACATTGTTGATGAGGAATAACCTGGAGTTAAAATTCAACCTAAACCCTGTCGCTCTGTAAAATAAAAAATTAAATCTCCACCCATGAAAAAAGTCCTGGATCTACAGTCTCAGGCCTAGCCTGGCCTTATCCATCCGTACACTCCGCTCAATCATCATTTCACTGCATGTAGCGTCTGGGGCTGGTCCCTGTGTTAGCGAATACAATCGGTCGTATTTCGACCGGCTACTCAGAGAGCGCGGAAGGCGGGTGTTGTAGGTCGGTGCTGGTGACGTCAAGAGTTTGCGCCGAACGGGCAGGTCGTAGTTTGGCAATGGCGAAGAATGCGGTAGTAAAGTAATCCGGTCTGGTTCTATCAAGAAATTGAAGCAGGAGCAAGAGGAATGTCTAGCAAATGTAATCGCTGGTCAAGATTGTGGCGCTACTTCTCACAGGCTCCGTTAGCAGCAAAGGAGATGGCTAGGCTAAATGCTAAATGCTAACAACAGACTCGGGCAAACTACATACAGTAAACTCAGATCCAATCGTTTCAATCTGCAAAAGGAGTTAACCCCTCCCACCTGTTCACAGAGCTCAATGGAGCAAATCCAGACCTTAGTATGAAATGAAATTTGTACTAAGGTGTGGTACAACCAGGCTACTCAGTCCTGGATCTACAGCCTCAGTCCTGGATCTAGAGCCTCAGTCAGACAGTGATGATCCGGGACACTTATACACACTTATTAACATTTATAGGCAGTGGATTCTCTGATCTGTTGTTGGCAAAACGGCAACTTAGTAATGTCCTCCGGGATGTGATTTATAGCTGTCAGCATCAGCGAGACCACCTACATACATGTTACACAAATACACTTTTAAGATCCAGCTCCAGGTGTGTTTTTCAGGAGGCAACAATGTTATGAAATGGTCACGAGGTCAAAGAGTCCGTTTAACACAAGAGAAGCAGCTGTCAGTCAATGTGAGAGTGAGGGACCCCCACCTGGTATCGGACCCCCACCTGGTGCCCGCTGACCGCTGGCTGCTCCACGCTCTGAACATATGCGCATACGTTTACATACATCACTTTGTAATGGCTTCCATACGGGCGGCTGACCACAAACCGCCAATCAGATCTTCATCAACAAAAGGGGAAAAATACTGACTTTTTCTCTTGGAATATTTGGATAACAGCAATCAACTTAGAAAGAGCAACTGAGAAAAAGTGCTGGAACAGGCCTGGAGGCAGCGGATAATGAAGCGAAAGCCAACAACAGCAGACACAGAGTATTTTGTCCCATTTCCCTCCAGTCCATCCGAGAGGTTTCTGAAGCGTTCCCAGGCCAGCGGGAAACAGGGCCTGCCGTGTGTCCACCTCAGCAGACTCCTCTCAACGTGTAGGAGCAGCAGTTCTTCCCCGAGCTCCTTCCGAGTTTCTCACTCTTTAAGGAAGCTAGCCAGAGAAAACACATGTGGATTGCCCAAAGATCACGATCACGGGTGAGAGTGCGAACGTAGACTGAGCAGTAAGAAAGTATTTCCAGACCACGGTTCTGCAAAGCCCTTTACAATGTTCAATTCAATTCAATACAATCTATTCTTGTATTGCCCAAAATTGTAACAGCATCATCTCAGAGGACTCAACAAAACCATTCAAATCACCAACACAGATCGGAGCATCGTTAAGAAGACACAAAAAATATACAACACATGGTATTGGTCCATAGGGAGAGACCAATGTCCATGAATATGATCAATGTCATACATGTTGAATGTTAAAGTGTCCTGGATCATCACAGTCCTTTTTGTTAGACAGACTCCTGCTTCAGAGGAAAAACTCAGTGGGAGAAAAGTGAGAAACCGCTGGGAGAGGGATCCGCTCCACACAGACTGACGGGCTATAGATCCAGGACTCAGACTGTAGAACGAGGACCAAGGCCACGCAGCGGTTTTGTTCAGAGTTAAGCTATTTTTCTATTCTCTCCACACGGTGATGACACAAACACACTGGAGCATCAAAGCCCCCAACACCATCCAGGACCCTCTTGCTGAGAAGCCAGAGTGCAACCGTGCAGCCCAAACCCATCCCAAATCAAACCTAACCTAAAACGTACCGTGGAGGTGGAGAGCAGGTGCACAGGGCTGGCTCTGGGGGCCTCGCAGGGCTCACAGCTCACTCCCAGAGAGCTCAGGATCTCCTCCAGGACCTCCAGCCCCTCAGGGTCCTCTGGGGCCTCCTCCAGGCGAACCTAGCACCACAGAGAGAGCAGAGCCTGTGACGGCAGACACAGCTGAGGTCGGAACATGTACAAAAATGGACACGCTCAAGTATGTTTATGATGGAGTTACAAAGCTATATTGATATTGAAGCATTTACAGCTAGCTAAAATACATAGCATCTACTCACTGCATATAGTATATTGTGTGCTCTTACTTCTGTGCTGTCTGTGCGCTGCAACATTGAAATTTCCCCACTGTGGGACGAATAAAAGTTCTCTTATCTTATGGAAATGCAAGTTTTCAGATCAACATTTGGATTTCTGTTTTTACAATGGCATAAAGCTGGAGTGACTGACTTTTAAGGAACAATATGTAAAAATGTGTCCAAAGGTGGCCTCTCCCACTCTCCCTGACTCAGGTTGCCAGATATGCAGACGAATCCAGCTGGGACCATAACAGTAGTAAGTAGTAGTAGTAGTAAGTAATCTTTATTTATATACCGCCTTTTCACTGCAGATCTGAGTCTCAAAGCAATTTACAATTGTTAATTTTTGGGCATTTGTCTCTCACTCCACACAGAGATGGAAGCGGGGTCGCCAGTACAGGAGGCACATGCCAGAACTATTGGACATATTTTTAGTGGTAGGGGAAACCGGAGTACCCGGAGGAAACCTACACAGACACAGGGAGAACATGCAAACTCCACTCAGAAAGGCCCTGGTCCGACTGGGATTTGAACCCAGGACCTTCTTGCTGAGAGGCGAGAGTGCTATCCACTCAGCCACCGTGCCGCCCGGCAACAGCTGAATAGACAAGAGTTTTGTCAACAACAAATCTATAACCAACACCTTTTTCACAAAGATAGAAATCCTGGTTTTATTCCTTGTTTTGTCGTTAATGATTTGAGAATCATAACGAGACCTTTTTTAGTTCTGCGCCACATGGTACTTTACCAGTGAGATTAACTCCACGCGGTGAGTTCTGGCGCCCGGATCACAGACTTTCTGATTGGTGAAACGGTGGAGGGCGGGACATCAAAATGAAAACAATAACAAGATTTAGGGGCTGGAAAAGCAATTTAGAAATTCAAATATCTCTGAACTACTGTTATCAGTTAAAGAAGTGTTGGAAAAGAACAGGTTTTATTGATGCTTTTTGACAGATTAGGGCTCTTTTAAGGACCCTTGACATGAAAATCTTACATATTGCTAATTTATGTTATGGATTTGTAAGCCAGTTATTTGCTTTAAGTATTAATTGAAGTACTTAAAAACAAATTAGAAATTGGCATCGGTCATTATGGGGGTAATACCTGTTTATTTGTATGGCACAGTTCATCCACAGGAGTACCTACTGTAGCCCCAGCTCCAGAGGCCTCACCTGACAGAGCACGGCTTCTCCCCCGTCGTCTCCGTGCGTGACGCGGATCACCGCCATCCCTCCCCCGCTTAGCTCCCCCCACAGCTCCACCTCCCCCCCTCCCCTCACGTCGCGGGCGTAGAGCCTGTCGCTGGTCTGCACACGGAGCTCCAGGCTGCTGCTGTCCTCGCGGGTGAAGCGCATGGTCCTCCGCTGGTCCTGCTGCTGGTGCTGCTGCTGGTGCTGGTGCTGCTGCTGGACCAGGGCGACCCCCGCGGGACACAGACCCGAGCACAGACCCAGGACCCGGCCCCCCGCACTCAGAAAGGTCAGGAAGCGCGTCTGCAGGTGGTCCGACAGCGGCTGGTCCTCCGCGTCCTCCGCCACCACCAGGAGGCAGCACTGCTCCAGCCAGGGGTCGCTCAGGGCCTGCTGCGGCATCAGGCGGTACAGCAGGTACTTCTCTGCACTGATGCGCGTGGACAGGAGCCGCTGGACGCTCCGGTAGCGCGCCTCGCTCTCCCCCGTGTAGATCAGCACGTTCGGGGGTTTGGAGTTAGCGTCTGCGCTGGAACAGTAGTCCTCTGGGATCTCTGCTGCTCCGCTGTCTGCGCACGAGAAACAGGAACATGCTACGTCACCATAAACAGGAACACCATCATTGTGCTAACCACTGCGCTAACCACTGCGCTAACCACTGCGCTAACCACTGCGCTAACCACTGCACTAACCACTGCGCTAACCACTGCACTAACCACTGCGCCACTGTGCTTCACAGTAATAAGGTCTTGGGTTCAATTCCACCTCCAGACCTTTCTGTGTGGCGTGTGCATGTTCTCTCTGTGTCTGTACTGATGAACCAAAAACCAGCAAAAATTATCAATAAATGAGAAAAGAAATCCTGAATTATGGAAAAACATTATATAATTGAAGTTGACTTTTACTTACTGTAGATTGACTTTCTTAAATTAGGACAAACATTATTTTAAGAATATCTATAGTTCTCTCTGTGATTGAGTTCTCTCTGTGCTGATAATTATAACTGGATAGGGTATAGCTAGCTTATAGCTGTCCCACCCATGGGCACAGGGGGCGCTGTGGTACTGCAGACTAAATTCACATAAACTCAATGTAAGAACTCAATGTAAACTAAAACAGTTCGACCTCAGCTGACAGTGAACCTAAAGCTTTCATAAAGGTCATACTTACTTACTGTAGACTGACTTTCTTAAATTAAGATAACCATTATTTTAAGAATATATATTGTTCAGCTCTCGTTTGGCTCGTAGCAAAAATGTTACCATTCGATAGTATTGCAATATTTGGGAAATAATTCAATATTATTGCGATTCTTAACATATCGTGATAGAGCATTGATTCGATTCTGCGATATATTGCGATTCATGTCCTTCATATTAATCAAATACTTTACAAACATGGAGGACATGGAGGACATAATAAAATAAGATAAGATAGACTTGATGATCCCACAGGCGAAAAGTACACATCACATTTGGCATGGATAGAATCACTCAGATTTGTGCAGAAGACAGAAGTGTGAAACATGTTAAAGGTAAAAAATATACAGAAAGTATTCGGCCCCCTTGAACCTTTCAACATTTCGCCACATTTCAGGCTTCAAACATAAGGATAAAAATTGAAATTTTTTGTCATGAATCAACAACAAGTGGGACACAATCGTGAAGTGGAACGAAATTTATTGGATAATTTAAACTTTTTTAACAAATAAAAAACTGAAAAGTGGGGCGTGCAATATTATTCGGCCCCTTTACTTTCAGTGCAGCAAACTCAGTCCAGAAGTTCAGTGAGGATCTTTGAATGATCCAATGTTGTCCTAAATGACTGATGATGATAAATAGAATGCTCCTGTGTGTAATCAAGTCTCCGTATAAATGCACCTGCTCTTTGATAGTCTCAGGGTTCTGTTTAAAGCGCAGAGAGAACCATAAAGACAAAGGAACACACCAGGCAGGTCCGAGATACTGTTGTGGAGAAGTTTAAAGCCGGATTTGGATACAAAAAGATTTCCCAAGCTTTAAACATCTCAAGGAGCACTGTGCAAGCAATTATATTAAAATGGAAGGAGTATCAGACCACTGCAAATCTACCAAGACCCGGCCCTCCCTCCAAACTTTCATCTCAAACAAGGAGAAGACTGATCAGAGATGCAGCCAAGAGGCCCATGATCACTCTGGATGAACTGCAGATAACTACAGCTGAGGTGGGAGAGTCTGTCCATAGGACAACAATCAGTCGTGCACTGCACAAATCTGGCCTTTATGGAAGAGTGGCAAGAAGAAAGCCATTTCTCAAAGATATCCATAAAAAGTCTCGTTTAAAGTTTGCCACAAGCCACCTGGGAGACACACCAAACATGTGGAAGAAGGTGCTCTGGTCAGATGAAACCAAAATCGAACTTTTTGGCCACAATGCAAAACGATATGTTTGGCGTAAAAGCAACACAGCTCATCACCCTGAACACACCATCCCCACTGTCAAACATGGTGGTGGCAGCATCATGCTTTGGGCCTGCTTTTCTTCAGCAGGGACAGGGAAGATGGCTAAAATTGATGGGAAGATGGATGGAGCCAAATACAGGACCATTCTGGAAGAAAACCTGTTGGAGTCTGCACAAGACCTGAGACTGGGACGGAGATTTATCTTCCAACAGGACAATGATCCAAAACATAAAGCAAAATCTACAATGGAATGGTTCACAAATAGACGTATCCAGGTGTTAGAATGGCCAAGTCAAAGTCCAGACCTGAATCCAATCGAGAATCTGTGGAAAGAGCTGAAGACTGCTGTTCACAAACGCTCTCCATCCAACCTCACTGAGCTCGGGCTGTTTTGCAAGGAAGAATGGGCAAGAATTCCAGTCTCTCGATGTGCAAAACTGATAGAGACATACCCCAAGCGACTTGCAGCTGTAATTGCAGCAAAAGGTGGCGCTACAAAGTATTAGCGAAAGGGGGCCGAATAATATTGCACGCCCCACTTTTCAGTTTTCTATTTGTTAAAAAAGTTTAAATTATCCAATAAATTTCGTTCCACTTCATGATTGTGTCCCACTTGTTGTTGATTCTTTACATTTAAAAAAAAAAAATTATCTTAGTTTGAAGCCTGAAATGTGGCGAAATGTTGAAAGGTTCAAGGGGGCCGAATACTTTCGCAAGGCACTGTAGTCTGTTCAGGATATATAACTGTATGTACAATAAAAAGTGGCAATTAAAGAAAGAGTGGCAATAGAAGTGCAGGTTTTTCAGTCCTAGTGCAACTGACTTAAAGTGACTCAACTCCAAAATAACTTATCCTGGTCGTACCACATCATAGTACAAATTTCGTACTAAGGTCTGGATTTGCTCCATTGACTCTGTGAACAGGTGGGAGGGGTTAACTCCTTTTGCAGATTGAAACGATTGGATCTGAGTTTACCGTAACGTATGTAGTGCGCCCGAGTCTGTCGTTAGCATTTAGCATTTAGCCTAGCCATCTCCTTTGCTGCTAACGGAGCCCGTGGGGAGTAGCACCACAATTTTTCCAGCGATTACATTTGCTAAACATTCCTCTTGCTCCGGCTTCAATTTCTTGATAGAACCAGACCAGATTACTTTACTATCGCATTTTTTGCCATTGCCACCACTACCTTCCCGTTAGACGCAAACTCTTGACGTCACCCACAACTAACTATAATAACCCGCATTCCGCGCTCACTGAATGGTCAGTCGAAATTCAAGCGACTGTAATCACTAACCCAGGGACCAGACCCAGACGTTACATGCAGTGAAATGATGATTGAACGGAGTGTACGGATGGCTAAGGCCAAGTTAAATATAACTTAGTTCTCCTGTATCAATATAATTGCCTGTGCGTTATATGTCAATAGACCACCATCGGCACGTGTGGCTGCAGACTCACCGCTGCCGCCGTCTCCTGCTCCGTCGTCCGGCAGCTCGGGGATGTTCTCTGCAGACGCGTACTTCACAGACAGGATGGTGCTGTTCTCCAGCTCCAGACACTCGTGGCAGCTGGCCAGGTGCAGGGGCCCGTGCCCGTGCTCCTCCATGTGGCCCTGGGCACATGTGGCCACAAACACTCAATTCAATGTAAAGCCCTAAGCCCTAAATCACAACAGTAGATATCTCAGGGGACTTTACAAAGCTGTTGATTCGCCAATACAGATCAGAGAATCAAACAGTTAAGACACAAGAAACACATAGAGCCATTGGTCCATAAGGGACAGAGACCAATGTCCATACATGTCATTTGAATATGTGATGTCTGCTATTATTATTATTATTATTATTCTTAATTCTACATAGATCTATGAGTATTCATATGTATAAAATTGTGTCAGGGACATTTGGGCCAATTGCGGAGAATGCTGACTCTACAGACCATCTCTTTGTCATGAGTGAGAGACGTGATGTCTGGAAGGACAATAGGACAATCTCTCTCTGGTCTCACTCAGGTTGGTCTCTTTCTAGTCTCTTTCTTTCTCTGATCTCTCTCTAGACTCTCTCTGGTCTCTCTTTGGTCTCTCTTTCTCTGGTCTCTCTCTGGTCTCTCTCTGGTCTCTCTCTGGTCTCTCTCTGGTCTCTCTCTGGTCTCTCTCTGGTCTCTCTCTGGTCTCTCTCTGGTCTCTCTCTGGTCTCTGGTCTCTCTCTGGTCTCTCTCTGGTCTCTCTCTGGTCTCTCTCTGGTCTCTCTCTGTGGTCTCTCTGTGGTCTCTCTGTGGTCTCTCTGTGGTCTCTCTGTGGTCTCTCTCTGTGGTCTCTCTCTGTGGTCTCTCTCTGTGGTCTCTCTCTGTGGTCTCTCTCTGTGGTCTCTCTCTGTGGTCTCTCTCTGTGGTCTCTCTCTGTGGTCTCTCTCTAGTCTCTCCCTCAGGTCTGGAGCAGAGGTTTTCTGGATGACACCGTGGCCTTGTGCTTATGACCTGTTTAAGACTTTAGTGTTTGAAGTGTGAGGTCTACATAAAATGAGCCACAGACTGATGCGAGCTGACCCACCCCTGGCTGCTGGCTCTGGGGGGGGCAGAGGAGAGGCTCAGAGGCGCGGCGCTCGTCCCGGCCGAGGGGGGAGAGGTCCGGGGGAAGGTAGAGGCTGTGTGGGCGTGGCTCCGGGGGGAGGCTGCTGGTGCGACAGAGGAGAGGGGCCTGGTCCACAGACAGGAGGCACTGAGGGACCTGCTTCTGTAACGCAGCCAGGACCGAGGGCTCCAAACACACCGCTGAAGAACAAGACACACACGTTAGACACTAAAGTTCTCCCTCTCTGGTCTCCCTCTCTGGTCTCCCTCTCTGGTCTCCCTCTCTGGTCTCCCTCTCTGGTCTCCCTCTCTGGTCTCCCTCTCTGGTCTCCCTCTCTGGTCTCCCTCTCTGGTCACTCTCTCTGGTCACTCTCTCTGGTCACTCTCTCTGGTCTCTCCCTAGTCTCTCCCTAGTCTCTCTCTAGTCTCTCTCTAGTCTCTCTCTAGTCTCTCCCTAGTCTCTCCCTGGTCTCACTCTGGTCTCACTCTGGTCTCACTCTGGTCTCACTCTGGTCTCACTCTGGTCTCTCTCGCTGGTCTCTCTCTGGTCTCTCTCTGGTCTCTCTCTGGTCTCTCTCTCTGGTCTCTCTCTCTGGTCTCTCTCTCTGGTCTCTCTCTCTGGTCTCTCTCTAGTCTCTCTCTGGTCTCTCACTCTGGTCTCTTGTCTCTCTTTCTGGTCTCTCTCCCTGGTCTCTCTCTCTGGTCACTCGCTGGTCTCTCTCTTGTGTAACATGTGAGCAGGGGACATACGCAGGATCCTGGAGGGCCACAGAGGGGCCTCCAGCTGCAGCCGCTCCTCCAGGAAGGCCACCCCCAAGCGGCTGAAGTCCTCCACTGAGGCCTGGGCCAGGGCCTGGTACGGCTGCCCCGGGACCATGGGGCAGTGGGCCAGAGGAACGCACAGGTCCGACCATCCCACCTGCACACACACCTCTGAAGTCTTAGAGGCTGGGGACACTTTCCTACTAATTTTCATACTATATTCTAAAGGATTCTCGAAGAGCACCAGATCTCTCACATTTTCTGATTCCCAAATGCACTCATTCTTCTTGAAATTTTACCCAGAAACTAGCCCTAACCATTCAAAAGGTTCTGGATTCACATTTTTTGTAATTCGAATCTTGATGATTATGGTCAGAGTGCAGCCCCAGAAGGAATCGCAGTAAAATCATAGACTATAAATGGAAAATGCTAATCCGCTAACTCAATGAAGCCTAATAGGGAAGTGCTCATAGAGAAGTTTTGCTCCATTTCGCTCTGGCTCCTGCAGACACCTCTCGCTCAGTAACCGGCTTTAAAGTCCGTGGTTGAGTTCTCTCTGTGGTAGAGTTCTCTCTGTGGTAGAGTTCTCTCTGTGGTAGAGTTCTCTCTGTGGTAGAGTTCTCTCTGTAGTTCTCTCTGTGGTTGAGTTCTCTCTGTGGTCGAGTTCCCTCTGTGGTACAGTTCTCTCTATGATTGTCTCTGTGGCTGAGTTCTCTCTGTCGTTGAGTTCTCTGTGGTTGAGTTCTCTGTGGTTGAGTTCTCTGTGGTTGAGTTCTCTCTATGGTTGAGTTCTCTCTATGGTTGAGTTCTCTATGGTTGAGTTCTCTATGGTTGAGTTCTCTCTGTGGTACAGTTCTCTCTGTGGTCATCTCTGTGGTTGAGTTCTCTCTGCGGTTGAGTTCTCTCTGCGGTTGAGTTATCTCTGCGGTTGAGTTATCTCTGCGGTTGAGTTATCTCTGCGGTTGAGTTATCTCTGCGGTTGAGTTATCTCTGCGGTTGAGTTATCTCTGCGGTTGAGTTATCTCTGCGGTTGAGTTATCTCTGCGGTTGAGTTATCTCTGCGGTTGAGTTATCTCTGCGGTTGAGTTATCTCTGCGGTTGAGTTATCTCTGCGGTTGAGTTCTCTGTGGTTGAGTTCTCTCTGTGGTAGAGTTCTCTCTGTGGTAGAGTTCTCTCTGTGGTTGAGTTCTCTCTGTGGTAGAGTTCTCTCTGTGGTAGAGTTCTCTCTGTGGTAGAGTTCTCTCTGTGGTAGAGTTCTCTCTGTGGTAGAGTTCTCTCTGTGGTAGAGTTCTCTCTGTGGTAGAGTTCTCTCTGTAGTTCTCTCTGTGGTTGAGTTCTCTCTGTGGTCGAGTTCCCTCTGTGGTACAGTTCTCTCTATGATTGTCTCTGTGGCTGAGTTCTCTCTGTGGTTGAGTTCTCTGTGGTTGAGTTATCTGTGGTAGAGTTATCTGTGGTAGAGTTCTCTGTGGTTGAGTTCTCTCTATGGTTGAGTTCTCTATGGTTGAGTTCTCTCTGTGGTACAGTTCTCTCTGTGGTCATCTCTGTGGTTGAGTTCTCTCTGCGGTTGAGTTCTCTCTGCGGTTGAGTTCTCTCTGCGGTTGAGTTCTCTCTGCGGTTGAGTTCTCTCTGCGGTTGAGTTCTCTCTGCGGTTGAGTTCTCTCTGCGGTTGAGTTCTCTCTGCGGTTGAGTTATCTCTGCGGTTGAGTTATCTCTGCGGTTGAGTTATCTCTGCGGTTGAGTTATCTCTGCGGTTGAGTTCTCTGTGGTTGAGTTCTCTCTGTGGTTGAGTTCTCTCTGTGGTCGAGTTCTCTCTTTGGTCGAGTTCTCTCTTTGGTTGAGTTCTCTGCGGTTGAGTTCTCTGTGGTTGAGTTCTCTCTGTGGTTGAGTTCTCTCTGTGGTTGAGTTCTCTCTTTGGTTGAGTTCTCTCTTTGGTTGAGTTCTCTGTGGTACAGTTCTCTCTGTGGTCATCTCTGTGGTTGAGTTTTCTCTGTGGTTGAGTTCTCTGTGGTTGAGTTCTCTCTGTGGTTGAGTTATCTCTGTGGTTGAGTTATCTCTGTGGTTGAGTTATCTCTGTGGTTGAGTTATCTCTGTGGTTGAGTTCTCTCTGTTGTTGAGTTCTCTCTGCGGTTGAGTTCTCTGTGGTACAGTTCTCTCTGTGGTTGAGTTCCCTCTGTGGTTGAGTTCCCTCTGTAGTAAAGGTCTCTCTGTGGTCATCTCTGTGGTTGAGTTCTCTCTGTGGTTGAGTTCTCTCTGCGGTTGAGTTCTCTCTGCGGTTGAGTTCTCTCTGCGGTTGAGTTCTCTCTGCGGTTGAGTTCTCTCTGCGGTTGAGTTCTCTCTGCGGTTGAGCTCTCTCTGCAGTTGAGTTCTCTCTGCGGTTGAGCTCTCTCTGCGGTTGAGCTCTCTCTGCGGTTGAGCTCTCTCTGCGGTTGAGCTCTCTCTGCGGTTGAGCTCTCTCTGCGGTTGAGTTCTCTCTGCGGTTGAGTTCTCTCTGTGGCTCTCTCTGTGGTTGAGTTCTCTCTGTGGTTGAGTTCTCTCTGTGGTTGAGTTTTCTCTGTGGTTGAGTTCCCTCTGTGGTTGAGTTCCCTCTGTGGTTGAGTTCCCTCTGTGGTTGAGGTCTCCCTGTGGTTGAGGTCTCTCTGTGGTTGAGTTCCCTCTGTGGTTGAGTTCTCTCTGTGGTGGAGGTCTCTCTGTGGTTGAGTTCCCTCTGTGGTTGAGTTCTCTCTGTGGTGGAGGTCTCTCTGTGGTTGAGCTATCTCTTTGGTTGAGTTCTCTGTGGTTGAGTTCTCTGTGGTTGAGCTCTCTCTGTGGTTGAGCTCTCTCTGTGGTTGAGTTCTCTCTGTGGTTGAGTTCTCTCTGTGGTTGAGTTCTCTCTGTGGTTGAGGTCTCTCTGTGGTTGAGGTCTCTCTGTGGTTGAGTTCTCTCTGTGGTTGAGTTCTCTCTGTGGTGTGGTTCTCTCTGTGGTTGAGTTCTCTGTGGTGTGGTTCTCTCTGTTGTTGAGTTATCTCTGTTGTTGAGTTCTCTCTGTGGTTGAGTTCTCTCTGTGGTTGAGTTCTCTCTGTGGTTGAGTTCTCTCTGTGGTTGAGTTCTCTCTTTGGTTGAAGTCTCTGTGGTTGAGTTCTCTCCATGGTTGTGTTTTTATTTTGATATTGTCTTTGTGAACCCCTTTAGGATTGACCAATCACTTGACTACATTTTCCTGAAGCAGAAACACCCTCCAGATAGTAAACATACACTGTGGTTTGTGATTATAATGGACTATGGTGATCCTCCAGTGTGGCAGTGGCGCCCCCATGTGGTCAGAACCATGCACTGCAGTGATTAGAGTCAGAACAAACTGAAACTGAGCGGCTCTCACACAAACACTACAAACTCACTTTATTCATTATAGAAAGTGTGTTTCTCACGACACAGAGGACAGAACTTAATGAAACGAGACAAATTCACATTCCTTTAAAGCGAATTACAAAACGCACTTTTTATAAAAACTAGTAAGTAAGTAAGTAAGTAATGTTTATTTATATACCGCCTTTCACAGACAAGGGTCACAAAGCGGTTTACAATTGTTATTATTTTTTTGGGCACTTGTCCTCTCACTCCACACAGAGATGGGAGCGGGGTCGCCGAACAGGAGGCGCATGCCAGATCTATTGTACATATTTTTGGTGGTAGGGGAAACCGGAGTACCCGGAGGAAACCTACGCAGACACGGGGAGAACATGCAAACTCCACTCCCTGGTCCGACCGGGATTCGAACCCAGGACCTTCTTGGTGAGAGGCGAGAGTGCTATCCACTCAGCCCCTAGTGGTGGGAAATAAAAAATCTGCTCAGTATCCGGATATTTTGCGATACAGTAGAGCTACGTATTGTCATATTTAATTAAACAATTTATTCTGAGTTTCCTCTGGTCATTTCTCCATCGGAGGTTTATGTGACTCTATGATGTTTGCTTGTCGTGACTCTATGATGTCTGCTGTGATTCTATGATGTCTGCTGTGACTCTATGTCTGCTGTGACTCTATGATGTCTGCTGTGATTCTATGACGTCTGCTTGTTGTGACGTGAATCAAGATATATGACAGAATCAAATCCTGTCTGTATCGCGATATGTTAAGAATCACAATAATATTGAATTGTCACATATTTGTGTCACTTCCCAGCCCTGATAAAAACTGAGGTAAAGATCCTGGGGTCACCTGGTGTTTGTGAGCGGGAGGAGCTCTGTGGGCTGTGGCCTCGATGATGAAGGAGATGTGGTCAGTGAGAGGAGCAGAGGAAGGGTGCAGGACTGTCCAGCTGCTGAGGTCAGAGCGCACCTGGACACACACACACACACACGCGTTTTTGATTGACTGAAGAACCGGTCATTTAGGAGTCGTTTAATTAAAAGAATAATTGGCCTAAGCCACAAATCATCCAAAAGAACAGTTCTTTAAAACAGTGGTAACAAAGGAGTTGTTAGTGGTCAGTGCGTGTCAGTGTTAGGTCCATGTGTCGCTGACCACACGCCTCTTTAGCCCAGAGCAGTCTCAGCTCGAGCCTCATGTCCCATTGTGGTGTTGCCATAGTAACTACTGATTGATATAACGAAAACACCGTCACACAGTAGGTTCAAAAACTAATAAAAATGCATGATTGGTCTCATAGCTGCTTTCTCCTCATCACAGTATTTACAGTCACTTGAAACTGTAATTAATGCTTTGTTATCCACTCTGATGTTGGCTTGATTTATTGATTGTCATTTTGTAGCATCGGTCTCACGTCAGTATTTTGGGAAACTTACTCCAAAGTGAAATGCATAACTATTTACAGGGAGACATTTAAGTCTATGAAGAATAGAATGTTACTGTATTTTTCAAAAAGTGAGTTTCAATGTCTTTCAAAGCCACGTGGCGCCCCCTGCCTGTGAAGCCCTGATCCTCAGTCCATGGAGACGGAGTGCTCAGATCATATTCATTACAATATGTTCTCCTCCATCAGAGCTGTGACGAGGCCGCGTCAGCTTCAGCTCCTTTGGGTAGTGCAGGCCATTCAAGGCCATTGAATGGATTTTATCATCATTATTACTTTAACACGTTGCGAATGTCTTAGCGTTGTTTTAAATAATTCTTTTGTGATAATATATATGTTCGATTCAAGGTAACGTATGTGTATGTATCGCCCTAAATCTCAGCAGTAGGTATCTCGGAGGACTTAACAAAGATGATAATTCGCCAACACAGATCAGAGAATCAAAAAATATATATAATGTATTTTAATATGGGGCGACAGTGGCTCAGTTGGTAGAGCATTGGCCTTTGAGCCTGAAGGTTGTGGGGTTGAGCTCACCACAAGACCTACTTCACGACTCCCACTGATGACTGCTGTTGTGTCCTTGGGCAAGACACTTAACCCCACTTTGCCTGAAGCCCCAGCTGAAAGATCAAAGCTCCTGTGGACTCAGCACCTGCAGGAGGATCAGTGAGGGGCTGGTGCTCTGTGAACTGGGTGCAGCTCTGACTGCCATCCCCACGACCCAGAAATGGATTAAGGGAAAGAAAAAGGATGGATGGATGGTATTTTACTATTGCATTCAAATACTATGTCCTACATTTTTTTCTCAAATAGCAAAAGTTCAATAATCCACCTTCCAAATGAGCATATATGTTGGCCATACTTTTATGATTTAATTCTTTCAGTTTCAGTTAAAACTACCAGTGTATTATTATTACGTAATATGTTACTAAGTATATGCATTACAATAATGAGTTTTATTCCCAGCACTGATCATATTCTCTCCTGTTGGTGACTATCAAACATAAGGACCTGAGACTTGTCCTGAGACTTGTCCTGAGACTTGTCCTGAGACTTGTCCTGAGACTTGTCCTGAGACTTGTCCTGAGACTTGTCCTGAGACTTGTCCTGAGACGTGTCCTGAAGGTGCGATCTGTGATGGTTTGTAAACATCAGCTGGGACATGGGACACGGGGCTCGTCAGTGGGACTGTCCCGGGTAAAGGGAACACGGCTCACCCCATGTAACCTGGGAAAGATCCAACACAACGGGCCCTGCATGACCTCCTCCTGGGGGGTGACCTCCTCCTGGGGGGTGACCGCGCTTGGTTCTGTGCGTGTCCAGTGTCCCACCTGCGGCTCGGTCACGTACACCGTGCAGTCCCCCCGCTGGAGGAAGAGCCCCAGTCCCTCCTCCTCATCCAGGGGCCGCTGTGATGCTGCTGTTGAGGGGCCCCGGCAGAAGCACAGGGCCAGGTTCCGGGGTCCGCGCTGCAGCCGGAGTACAGTCTCCCGGATGAGCGAAGGGTAGGTCCGATGGAAACGCAGCCACAAGTACACGTAGGACAGCGTGATCAGCATGCTCCTACACGGCTCCCGGGCTCCTCACAAGGGCCTCCGTCCATGCTGTGTTGTGGACGTTCCGTGTTGTGGAGTAGGTGGAGTAGCGCCTCTGGTGGTCTGGAGGGCTGCGTCCAAAACTCAGAAAGAACACTTCGGTCGTGTCTTTCTTCATCATTTTTTGCCCTTTTTCTAAAACAAAAAAGCTCCGGGATTTTTAAGTGAGATTTAAGAGTTTTAAATGCTATTTGTGTGAAATTTAATGTCCTCAGGGTCACTGTAGAGAAGAAAAAGAACAGGTGAGGAAAAGGAGAAGAGTGTTGATAGATGTAACAGTCAGCGTGAGGGTTCAGGCGGCCATCTTGGGTTTCCAGAGGGGCAAATTCTCATCAAGCATATGGGTAAAACGTTTATTCAGAGTTCAAGACCATTCGCACATGACAGCGTAAGTGAAATGTTATAAATGTATGTATTAACTATTGAGTAGTCCAACCTATCGCTTAGCTAACCCTCGCTTGGCAAAGTGTATAAAAGTTCCTAGTTGGACTTGAGCAGATGTGACAGGTAGAGTGAGAGAACAAAAGCTCTTTAACACAACAGTTATGTAATAGAGTAGAGTAAATATGAGACGATACAGTTTTCTTGACTGAATGTGACAGCGGCAGATACAGTAAGCGTTCTCTAGTACAAATGTACAACGGTAACATGGCTGTCGGAAATGGATGTTTGGTTACCATGGCGACGATGTTTCTAGCGCCAGTGTTACTGTCACACGTTTTTACAATGACTTATACTGACAAATGTGTTGTAATATAAATCTAAAATAATCCAGAATAATAAAAAGGCAAATTAAATGTATCTATATGATAAACATCTAAAATATTTAAACCCGCCTGTCTTGTTTCCTCTTGAGCACGGGGCGGCGCTGTTTGTCTCCGTATCGTCGTTTTATTCCCAAACTCACTCCTGCACATATCCGTAACATGCCTTTCCTAAATTCTTACCCTTGACCAAATTAACTATTTCTAACACAATTATCCAATATTTGGATAAACTTTTATTATTAAACAGTTGCTAGCATAGCCACCAAAGATAAGTATAGGGTTAGCTTATGATTGTGTTGGGGAAAATAAATCGGGCCTGTGTCCGTGGGTTTGTGTTTACAGCTTACAGCCATCATTTCGGTACGCCGTGTATGTGGACATCTGATCCGAACTACGACCCGAGGAGCCCGGGGAGCAGACCCACACAGCCCCGCACGGTCCTCCAAGCACCGAGGTACGCACCACGGCCCAGCGGCCTGCGGAGGTGGTTACACGGGGTAGGGTGCATGATGGAGCAGGGTGGGACGCTGGTTCTGGACGGGTTCTCTGCCTGCTTTCATATTACCAGGCCGTATCGCTTCTATTGCTTTTCCAAAAACTGTATTTATGATGTGTTTTTAGTCTTTAGGAACAAATATGATGCATTGGGACTTTATATCTTGCTCCCATCCTTTTATTGCTTGTGTTCAGTTTTGAGCTCTGTGTCCTATATATTTAAATTAAGAGATCCTTTACCCGTCCCACAGTGGAGAAATTTCAGTGTTGCATCACCAGTTATAGAACAGTAGGAATGAGGAGCACACAGCACAAGATATATTGTAAATTGTATGTTTTAGGGCAAGAAATATATAGTTGTATGTTTACATCTTTACATATCAGCATGAGGGTCTGGGACAAAGTGACAGTGACACATGTGGTTCTATTTTTCACATTATGACATTATTCAAATTATTATTGCACAAATGAGTATAGTTTAGTGACATTGAGAGTGTTTGGTTTCACATTTTGTACATTTTGACAAACAAAAAAAATTGTACACATTCACGACAGGTGAAGCCACTGATTGGTCCCAATATTTCATGTTTAAATGACAATGCAAACAGAACAATATCATTCCTGATGCCCTTTGCACCATAACCCATCGTGTTGTTTGCTCCAACAGAGTCTAGTAAACGTTACATGTTGTTAACAAATCAGACCACAACATGCTCTTTTCACCTTATTAGAAACATATCATTATTGGCATACTTGTAAGAAAGCGCTCGTTGGATGAGTGATGTTGGTCCCCTCTGTTTTTACTTTTAGGTCTTGAAAAGCTGATCCAAACACGTGACAGAGGCTAAAAATACATGCATATGAAAACCAGTGAGTTTTAGAACCAGGACCTACTGTAGTGACATGGATTTCATTGCAGATACTTTCTTTGTGCTTAGTCAGTTAGGCATCCGAGCGATAAACCTAGAATATTTACTTTTATGAAAACATTTCTATGTAAATGCTGTGGTTGTGTCCTTTGGCAAGACACTTCACCCACAGTAGAATGAGTCTGGTGTGTGTGTGATTGGGTGGTGGTGGGAGGGGCCGATGGTTTAATCACCACTGTGGATAGAGTGAAAAAATGGCATGTGAAGTATTTGAGTGTCCTAAAAGTGCAATATAAAACTGACGCATTATTATTATATGTATTATGTATAATAATTGCTGGGCTGGTGTCGTGTTTCAGCTCCAGGAGAGGAGCACTTCTGTGGCCCTGATCTTGCTCCTGAGCAGAGTGGACAACATGGATGAACAAAGTGTTGAGGTGAGCTCCCCAATCCTGCTTCTGTCCTTTCAAATCCTACTTCAGACCCTTTGGATCCAGTTTAGACCCTGTTTAGTTTCTATTACTCATTTTCCTGACAGCATTTTCCTTCCAATCCTCACTTTTACATCTACATGTCTGCTTTTCATGTATTTGAATGTGAATTAATTATAAAACATGCTAATATACATGTTTTAGGAGGAACAACCATATCTATGGGTGTAAGTGGGAAATGTAATGGATAGATATTCACCATAAAACAATCTGATTCTCTGAAGACACACAGTTGTAACTACCGTCATTTCATTGGGATCAGATAAGAGTTCCTTTATTCGTCCCACAGTGGGGAAATTTCAATTGCATTATAGAAAACTGCTTTGAGGATTCATCGTAGGTTTGGACTTCAAAAACTTACTCTCTGTGTGTGCGTGTGCGCGTGTGTGCGCGTGTGTGTGTATAGAGCATAGCGGAGGTGTTCCGCTGCTTCATCTGTATGGAGAAGCTCAGAGACGCTCGTCTGTGTCCACACTGCTCCAAGCTCTGCTGCTTCAGCTGCATTCGGGTTTGTACTCTTTAAATGTATCTATTATGTACGTATGTACAATATGTAGGTTTGTATGTAGAGAGAAAATACAAATACAACAAGTTGAATGTGTCACTGATGTGCTAATGAGGTGCAACACTTTTAGTCGTGTTTTTCTACATTCTCACCGGTGAACAGTTTGTATTTCTGTTATTACAAGCTTGTAATGAATGTACTGCATACTGGACTCAGCCTGTAGAAAGAGGACTGAGGCCTTAGAAAGTTTCTTCAGACAGGGGCTTTCAAAACGCAAAAATATTGAAAAATATTCTGAGACACATGTCTAGGCAGCTGTGTTTACAGTGTCTTTACAGTGAAATCCCTGAGCCCAGACCAGAGACACAGGCCTTATGCACATCCAGGCCCCGAGACCTGAGCCCCGTCCCACAGTACTCTTTACCCACTGCTGCTGTTGGAGCTGCTGTAGGAGCTGCTGAAGGAGCTGCTGAAGGAGCTGCTGAAGGAGCTGCTGAAGGAGCTGCTGTAGGAGCTGCTGAAGGAGCTGCTGAAGGAGCTGCTGAAGGAGCTGCTGTAGGAGCTGCTGTAGGAGCTGCTGTAGGAGCTGCTGTAGCTGTAGGAGCTGCTGTTGGAGCTGCTGAAGAAGCTGCTGAAGAAGCTGCTGAAGGAGCTGCTGTAGGAGCTGCTGTTGGAGCTGCTGTAGGAGCTGCTGTAGCTGAAGGAGCTGCTGAAGGAGCTGCTGAAGGAGCTGCTGTAGGAGCTACTGTAGCTGTAGGAGCTGCTGTTGGAGCTGCTGTAGGAGCTGCTGTTGGAGCTGCTGTTGGAGCTGCTGTTGGAGCTGCTATAGGAGCTGCTGTTGGAGCTGCTGTAGGAGCTGCTGTAGGAGCTGCTGTTGGAGCTGCTGTAGGAGCTGCTGTAGGAGCTGCTGTTGGAGCTGCTGTTGGAGCTGCTGTTGGAGCTGCTATAGGAGCTGCTGTTGGAGCTGCTGTAGGAGCTGCTGTAGGAGCTGCTGTTGGAGCTGCTATAGGAGCTGCTGTTGGAGCTGCTGTAGGAGCTGCTGTAGGAGCTGCTGTTGAAGCTGCTGTTGCTGTAGTTGAATGAATGGTTGAAATATTTGTTTCAAAAACCTGCATCATTTTCACAGGAAACAAGAAAACAAAAGCACGTACAGGGATTGAAAAGGGGTTGGAGAAAGTTTATCTAGTTCAGTAGATAAAGTAAGTCCAGTAAATCTAACACTGTGTCTGTGTGTCTCCAGCGCTGGCTGACGGAGCAGAGAGCCCAGTGCCCCCACTGCAGGTGAGAGCACATTCCTCTCTCTACTCTCCTCTCTACTCTCTCTCCTCTCTCCACTCTACTCTCCTCTCTCCACTCTACTCTCCTCTCTCCACTTTACTCTCCTCTCTCTACTCTCCTCTCTCCTCTCTACTTTCCTCTCTCCTCTCTCCTGTCGACTCTACTCTGCTCTCTCTACTCTCCTCTCTACTCTCTACTCTCCTCTCTACGCTCCACTCTCCACTCTCTTCTCTCCTCTCCTCTCCTATCTCCTCTCCATTCTCTACTCTCCTCTCTCCTCTCTACTCTCCACTCTACTCTCCTCTCCTCTCTCCTCTCTACTCTCCTCTCTCTACTCTCCTCTCTACTCTCCTCTCCTATCTCCTCTCTACTCTCCATTCTCTACTCTCCTCTCTCCACTCTCCATTCTCTACTCTCTACTCTCTACTCTCCTCTAATCTCTACTCTCCTCTTTCCTCTCTCCTCTGTCCACTCTACTCTCCACTCTCCTCTCCTCTCCTCTCCTCTCTACTCTCCTCTCTCTCCACTCTACTCTCCTCTCCTCTCTCTACTCTCCTCTCTACTCTCCTCTCTCCTCTCTCTACTCTCCTCTCTCCGCTCTACTCTCTACTCTCCACTCTCTACTCTCCTCTCTCTACTCTCCACTCTCCACTCTCTACTCTCCTCTTTCCTCTGTCCACTCTACTCTCCTCTCTACTCTCCTCTCTCTACTATCCTCTCTAATCTCTACTCTCCTCTTTCCTCTCTCCTCTGTCCACTCTACTCTACTCTCTACTCTCCTCTCCTCTCTCTACTCTCTTCTCCTCTCTCTACTCTCCTCTCTTCTCTCTCCTCTCTCTTCTCTCTACTCTCTACTCTACTCTCTACTCTCTACTTTCTACCCTACTCTCTTCTCCTCTCTCCTCTCTCCTCTCTCTACTCTCTACTCTCTACTCCTCTCCTCTCTACTCCTCTCTCCTCTCTCTACTCTCTACTTTCTTCTCCTCTCTCCTCTCTCTACTCTCTACTCTCTACTCTCTACTCTCCTCTCTCCTCTCTCTCCAGATCCATCAGAAGTCACTGTTCTGTTCAGTGATTTTTATTTTGAAGGAATTCTTTCAAATTAAAACAGGCCCACTGGTTGAACAACACTGGTCTAAACAATCTGGTATTTTTCTGCTTTTCTTTACACAGTAGAAACAGGACCTTTTCTGTCTGAAGTCAAAACATGTCAGGAATAAAGTGTTTGTAGCTTGTGAGCTTTATTAGAAGAAAACTTCAATTGAAATACATTCTAACTACAGGATGGTGTCATTTTATATACAATTGTGTCAACCATTAGTCTGTTGGTCTTATTGTACTTTGTGTGTGTGTGTGCGTGTGTCGTGTGCGCGTGTGTGCGTGCGTGCGTCTCTTTCTCTGCGTGTCTGTGTTTTGTAGTTTATCGAGGACTATTAAAGATAAAAAGTAGATGAATTCAGGTTAAGGGCGTGTGCGTCTGTGTGTGCACCTCCGTATGTGTGTCTGTATGTGCACCTCCGTGTGTGTGGTTGTGTGTGTCATTTGCTGAAGAAATGGGGACATGTTGGTGAAAGTTGGCCTTGTTTCTGCGCAGAGCTCCTCTGCAGCTGCGGGAGCTGGTGAACTGTCGCTGGGCAGAGGAGGTCACACAACAACTGGACACACTACAACTGTGCAGCCTATCCAAGCACGAGGACAACGACCGGGACAAGTGAGTAGCACAGGGACCAGTGAGTAGCACAGGGACCAGTGAGTGTGTCACAGGGACCAGTGAGTGTGTCACAGGGGCCAGTGAGTGTGTCACAGGGACCAGTGAGTGTGTCACAGGGACCAGTGAGTGTGTCACAGGGACCAGTGAGTGTGTCACAGGGACCAGTGAGTGTGTCACAGGGACCAGTGAGTGTGTCACAGGGGCCAGTGAGTGTGTCACAGGGACCAGTGAGTGTGTCACAGGGGCCAGTGAGTGTGTCACAGGGGCCAGTGAGTGTGTCACAGGGACCAGTGAGTGTGTCACAGGGACCAGTGAGTGTGTCACAGGGACCAGTGAGTGTGTCACAGGGGCCAGTGAGTGTGTCACAGGGAAAAGCACCAGGCCCACGACAGAAACGTGTGAGGTAGGGCTGGGAATGAGCAAAAATGTGAGGCTTTAATACGGCACGGTGGCTGAGTGGATAGCACTCTCGCCTCTCAGCAAGAAGGTCCTGGGTTCGAATCCCAGTCGGACCAGGGCCTTTCTGAGTGGAGTTTGCATGTTCTCCCCGTGTCTGCGTAGGTTTCCTCCGGGTACTCCGGTTTCCCCTACCACTAAAAATATGTCCAATAGTTCTAGCATGCGCCTCCTGTACTGGCGACCCCGCTTCCATCTCTGTGTGGAGTGAGAGACAAATGCCCAAAAATTAACAATTGTAAACCGCTTTGAGACTCAGATCTGCAGTGAAAAGGCGGTATATAAATAAAGATTACTTACTACTTACTAATAGAATTGCGATATTTGGGCCACAGATCAATATTATCGTGATTCTTAACATATCGAGATACAGTCTGATTCTGTGAATAATATGAAGAACATGAATCACGATATATCAAAGACCTTACAAACACGGAGGAAAATAGTCTGTAGATAAACACTGAGGAAAGCAGGACCTTATTACAGAAAAGACATCATAGAGTCACAACAAGCAGACGTCATAGTCACAACAAGCAGACGTCATAGAGTCACAACAAGCAGACGTCATAGAGTCACAACAAGCAGACGTCATAGTCACAACAAGCAGACGTCATAGAGTCACAACAAGCAGACATCATAGAGTCACAACAAGCAGACGTCATAGAGTCACAACAAGCAGACGTCATAGAGTCACAACAAGCAGACGTCATAGTCACAACAAGCAGACGTCATAGTCACAACAAGCAGACATCATAGAGTCACAACAAGCAGACGTCATAGAGTCACAACAAGCAGACGTCATAGAGTCACAACAAGCAGACGTCATAGAGTCACAACAAGCAGACGTCATAGAGTCACAACAAGCAGACGTCAGAGTCACAGCAAGCAGACATCATAGAGTCACAACAAGCAGACGTCATAGAGTCACAACAAGCAGACGTCATAGTGTCACAACAAGCAGACATCATAGAGTCACAACAAGCAGACGTCATAGAGTCACAACAAGCAGACGTCATAGAGTCACAACAAGCAGACGTCATAGAGTCACAGCAAGCAGACGTCATAGAGTCACGACAAGCAGACGTCATAGAGTCACAACAAGCAGACGTCATAGAGTCACAACAAGCAGACATCACAGAGTCACAACAAGCAGACGTCAGAGTCACAGCAAGCAGACGTCATAGAGTCACAACAAGCAGACATCATAGAGTCACAACAAGCAGACGTCATAGAGTCACGACAAGCAGACGTCATAGAGTCACAACAAGCAGACGTCATAGAGTCACGACAAGCAGACGTCATAGAGTCACAGCAAGCAGACATCATAGAGTCACAACAAGCAGACGTCATAGAGTCACAACAAGCAGACGTCATAGAGTCACAACAAGCAGACGTCATAGAGTCACAGCAAGCAGACGTCATAGAGTCACAGCAAGCAGACGTCATAGAGTCACAACAAGCAGACATCATAGAGTCACAACAAGCAGACGTCAGAGTCACGACAAGCAGACGTCATAGAGTCACAACAAGCAGACGTCAGAGTCACGACAAGCACACGTCATAGAGTCACAACAAGCAGACGTCATAGAGTCACAACAAGCAGACGTCCTAGTCACAAAAGCAGACGTCATAGTCACAACAAGCAGACGTCATAGAGTCACAACAAGCAGACGTCATAGAGTCACAACAAGCAGACGTCATAGTCACAACAAGCAGACGTCATAGTCACAACAAGCAGACGTCAGAGTCACAACAAGCAGACGTCATAGAGTCACAACAAGCAGACGTCATAGAGTCACAACAAGCAGACGTCATAGAGTCACAACAAGCAGACGTCATAGAGTCACAACAAGCAGACGTCATAGAGTCACAACAAGCAGACGTCATAGAGTCACAACAAGCAGACGTCATAGAGTCACAACAAGCAGACGTCATAGAGTCACAACAAGCAGACGTCATAGAGTCACAACAAGCAGACGTCATAGAGTCACAACAAGCAGACGTCATAGAGTCACAACAAGCAGACGTCATAGAGTCACAACAAGCAGACGTCATAGAGTCACAACAAGCAGACGTCATAGAGTCACAACAAGCAGACGTCATAGAGTCACAAGCAGACGTCATAGAGTCACAACAAGCAGACGTCACAGAGTCACAACAAGCAGATGTCACAGAGTCACAACAAGCAGACGTCAGAGTCACATAAACCTCAGATGGAAATGACCAGAGAAAAAACAAAACTGAAAATGATGATTTAATAAAATATTGCAAGACTTTGCTTTAATGTATCAATTCAATTGTGTGCACAAAATATCGCAATACTGACTTAATAAATTACTTTTATTCTGATGCTCCTGTGCAGATGTGAGAACCACCACGAGAAGCTGAGCGTGTACTGCTGGACCTGCAAGAAGTGCATCTGCCACCAGTGTGCGCTGTGGGGCGGCATGGTGAGCTCAGGCTTTTGGATTTGTATTTGTCATGTGGTCTGGATCAGTGTGAAAACATAAGCACCGTTCTGCAGTAACATTTACAGATAAAAGTAAAATATTGATTGTAAAACACAAAACAACAACTGTTTCTGAGACACATGGGACTGTGTCGTTTTCAGCGCATTCAAAAGAAGTCATATGAAATTGCATCAGATTTATGGTTGGATTCATGACATATATTTGAAGCAAAGAGCATTACATTTCAGAAAGGGTGACCTTCTACTTTGCCCTTTAGAGATCCATATAGATTATATTATTTTATCTCCAACTCAGGATGTGTTGGATGCTAATCTGTCAGACCATTACGATTATGATGTGATCATGCTAAAACATACAGACATGTGCTTTGTACTTTATTTGACAATTATAAAGCACTGCAGTATAAACCAGGAGAGTTTATTTACAGTTTACACACAGAGCAACTCAGAGTTCTGAACAAAGCAAGATGGAAACTATCACAGAAGGCATTCAAGTCATAAATAATCACAGAACATTAGGAAGAGTGAAGATGCAATACAGGAAGACTGTTCCTGATTATAGCTGCATGAATTTGAAATGCAGCCTCCTCATGTTTAGTTCTGACTCTGGGACCAGCAGGAGGCCAGTCCCTGTGCTCCTCAGAGTTGGTTCATATGGCACTAGCATGTCACAGGCCATGGAGAGACTTGATGGTCCTGGTCCTGTATGTTGAGGAGAGAAATGGCCTTGTCTGACTGTGCCCTGTGTCTGTGGCAGCATGGAGGCCACACGTTCAAGCCTCTGGTTGAGATCTACGAGCAGCACGTGACCAAAGTGAAGGAGGAGGTGTCCAAGCTGCGGCGCCGCCTGCTGGAGCTCATCAGCCTGGTGCAGGAAGTGGTGAGTGTCTTGGACCAATGAGCCTTAAAGGTCCTATGTTTGGCTTTTCTTCATTTTTTACAGTCCATCCTAAGAACATGTGTGATAATAATTTGGTTGATACACCATACAACACTCAGAACTTAGAAATTAAAGCCATTTCTTACGTAGAGCTGATGTCACCTCAAATGAAAACAAATCAATCAATCAACGTTTATTTGCCTCACAACCCATATCACATCATGCTTAAATCAAACATTAGAATCTACATAAACATAAAAATCGCACGAGTTAAAAACCTTAAAACATTAAAATCACAGATGGGATTAAAATCATAAATAGCCATAGTGCATTAAAATGAGCTCTACTGCAGTCTCTCTCCTCTCTCTGGTCTTTCTCTGGTCTGTCTTTCCTCCTCTTTTCTCTTTCTCTGGTCTCTCTCTGGTCTCTCTTTGGTCTCTTTCTCTGGTCTCTCTCTGGTCTATTTGGCCTCTCTCTGGTTTCTCTCTGGTCTCTTTGATCTCTCTCTGTGGTCTCTCTCTGGTCTCTCTCTGGTCTCTTTGGTCTCTCTCTGGTCTCTCTAACTTCAGCAACCGTGAGTCCAGGTAGTTATAGAACTATATAAAGTGTGCGTGAGGGGTTTTACTACCTTAAAACATCAGCTTCTGCTGCAAGGATTTTGTTTATTGTGGGTTAGTTATAGAACGTAACCATCCACCTCTGTATAAGGAGAACATTCTGTCTTCGGTTTTTCAATATAATTTTGGAAACAATAATAACAAATATGATGCAAAAATTGCAAGAAGATACACCGTGATTTTTCCCGAAATCCATATAGTTAACACCCATAGTCCCTCCAAATGACCGCGATGGGACATGTGTTTGTGTTGAGTCTGAGAGTGTCCCTGCTGTGACCAGGAGCGCAACGTGGAGGCGGTCAGAGGCGCCAAGGACGAGAGAGTCCGTGAGATCCGCAACGCTGTGGAGATGATGATCGCTCGCCTGGACAACCAGCTGAAGAACAAGCTCATCACACTCATGGGTCAGACGCACAGACACACACTTCTTACACTGAGGCACACACGGCTCCAGGAGACACTACACTGAGAAGGTTCACAGAGCACAGAAATACACAGTACGCTAACCAAACACACAGTATCAGGAGTTATGTCCAAACAGGTCTGACCACTGAGGTCCTGTCTCCAGGCTCCCGCTCAGCAGCTTGAGACGCTTTCAAAAGTATCTTGAAAGCGTACTCTCAAGATACGTACTCTCAGCGAGGGTGCGTCTCCTTCACACACCCTCGCTGTGTTAAGGAGAGGTTCCGTAGGTCTTTCCTTCCTGCTGCTGTCAGACTGTACAATAAGAACTGCTGAGCCTGTAAATTTCATTCATCTGTAATTATGTAAATTCTTAAATCATGTGCAATGTCCAATACTGCAACTTCAGAATGTCACAGAACAATGTCACTTTACTTTATCTACTTGTTATCCTGCACTATTTAACTGTACAGTATATAACTGCACTACTACATATATCTTTTGACATGGTATTGAAGCATTTTCAGCATCTACAGCTAGTTATGTTAGCTAAGAAACATAGCTAATACTTATTTGTATATATTGTGTGTGCTCCCTGTGTGCTCTTACTACTGTCCTATATGTGCGCTGCAACATCGATATTTCCCCACTGTGGGACGAATAAAGGAATAAAGGAATTCTTAACTTTTCCGTAGCTCTCAAACTTGGAAACAGTAATAAACTTGCTAACATACAGTATATAGTGTTGGGCAATTGAGACGCATTACACGACTGCTGCATTACTTTTAAGTTATTTTTTTACTCACTTTGTATAAACATACAACATGGCAACCATCACTATGGGAGCAATCATCATAACAACTGTTACCATAACAACTGTTACCATAACAACGGCCAGGCAATCTGGTGAATCTTGTTTTAATGTGAATTTATTCTTTTTTAGAAGTTTGTTTCTAGTTGCCATTGTGGTCGTTGCCAGGACAGTTACAATAGTGATTTCCATAGCAATGGTTGCCATGGCTATGATCAGCCTGGCAACCGTTGCTATGGCTATGATCAGCCTGGCAACCATTGCTATGGCAATGACCATCCTGGCAACCTTTCCTATGGTAATAGTCACCATCACTGTGGCACAGTTGCTATGGCAACAGTTATCCTGGCAACCATTAATATAATGATGGTTCCTTATCACCATCAACCAACTGTTACCATCACAACTGACAGACAATCTTGTGAATCTTGATAACGTTGCTATGGCAATGGTCACCATGGTAACCGTTGCTATGGCTATAGTCACCATGGCAACCGTTACTATGGCTATAGTCACCATGGTAACTGTTGCTATGGCGATGGTTGCCATGGTAACCGTTGCTATGGCAACCGTTGCTACGTTATTACGAATTTCCTGCAACTTTTTTTGGTTGCCATAGTGATGTTTCCATGAGAACAGTTGCCATAGTTATTGCCATAGCAACCCTCACTTGACAACTGTTACCATTATGGTCATCCATGCTAACCATTGTCGTGGCTATTGCCATGCCAACCATTACAGTTGTTAACATGTCAACCATTGATATGGCAATCACTATGGCAACTCCCATGGCAGCCATCACTATGGCAACTGGAAACAAATTTCCAGAAAATAAGTCGCAAGAATGTTGCTTTAAAACAAGATTCACAGATTGTCTGTCCGTTGACAGTTGGAATGGTGATTGTTCCCATTGTTGCCATGATAACAGTTGCTAAGTTAACAGTCGTCATAGTGGTGGCCATAGCACCAGCCATAGTGATTGCCATACTGAACAAATTGTTTTTTTCCCCTCCCCTAATAAGGACATGCTCTTTACCCTCAGGCCAGAAGACGTCTCTGACCCAGGAGACCGAGCTGCTGGAGTCTCTGCTGCAGGAGGTGGAGCACCAGGTGAGGCCCGCTTCACTCTTTTATCAAAACACAGTCAAACCGTTTACACAAAGTACCAAGTCCCTCTTTGTAGAGGTGTGTCATGTGTAGTCTGTAGTACTGGTGGAAACTGGGGCACTCTCAGTGAGATGCTGGGATCAAATGTTGGAAAATTATCATGTCATTTAATTGATTCTAAAAGTCTTTGTTTTAAAATTAGGTATAACAAGCAAGCCATGGTAGCTCCTGGAAAACAAACCTTTTTTCCAGTTCTTTTGTGCCCTCTCTGCCATAAAATGGTTGATAATTCAAATATCCATTAAAACACAAAGACACAATTTATAAAATACAAAATACATTAATAGAGCTGGAATGCAGAATAAAATCATAATCGGATAAGTAAGTGGAAAAATAGCTCAGGGGACACTAAAACAACACATGTCCAGTAACCTTTGTGTGTGTCGTGTGCACGCGTGTGTCTCTCTGTGTGTGTGTTTCTCTGTGTGCGTTTGTGTGTGTGTGTGTTGCAGCTCCACTCCTGCAGTAAGAGTGAGCTGATCTCCAAAAGCCCAGAGATCCTGCTCATGTTCCAGCAGGTGCACAGGAAGCCCATGCAGTCGTTTGTGACCACGCCCGTGCCCCCAGACTTCACCAGGTCCGAGCACAAACACACAAATACACAAATGTGCAAACAGGACTCACACCGTTTCAGTCTCTGTCATCACATTTTTTGTAGTTCATTCATTCATTCATTTTTAACCTGGATTGCAACAATGTCAGAGAAGAAGCCCATCTCACATTTTCAGGAAGACTGTTCCAGATTTTAGTGGCATAAATCTGAAATGCTGCCTCCCCATGTTTAGTCCTGACTCTGGGCCAGTCCCTGTGCTCCTCAGAGTCCCAGCAGGAGGCCAGTCCCTGTGCTCGTCAGGGTCCCAGCAGTAGGCCAGTCCCTGTGCTCCTCAGGGTCCCAGCAGTAGACCAGTCCCTGTGCTCCTCAGAGTCCTCATATGTTACAGATGTACTTTGGTGCGAGGCCATGGAGAGACTTGCACAGAAAGTCACAGGAAGCAGAGACCTGAGACCAGAAGAAGTCATAATTATTGTGTAAAAGCCAATAATTGTCATTAGAAAGAAAATATTTGAAAGGTTCCCAAATATTTTCTGTTTTCCCTATTTTAGTGCTATACAAGGTTTACTCCTACTAGAGCCCATGTCTTTCTATTGTCCTTCCAATAACAAACCATGTTGAAGATTGAAATACAACTTTCTGATACATTTTCAAAACTGAGAAGCCCGTGCCAATGACCTGTGTTTGTGCGTGTGTGTGTGTGTGTGTGTGCGTGTGTGCGTGTGTGTGTTCAGTGAGCTGGTGCCGGCCTACGACTCCAGTACCTTTGTCCTGGTCAACTTCAGGTGAGTGACCTCCAGACCCCCAGCCTCTTCATGCTCCCTGCTGCCTCTGTCCTCATTGTTGTTTTAAGCCAACATGTGGATTCCCCAGAATGTACAATAACTTCATCAATGTGAAATAAAAAGTGTGATGCAGCACGAGAAATAATTTTAGTTTGCACAAAGGTTTTAGGTATTTACTGTAAGTCTGATGGTTAAAGTGATTGTCTGGAGTTTGTCAGAGAGACAGAGAGGTGCTTGATTTGAAAAAACGACACAAGCTCCTCCCCCTTCCTTTCTGATTGGTCTACGCTAACGTTTCCGTAACACTTTGAAATGTTAATCAGAGAACACATTATACTTATACATTATTAATACACATGCACGGAGGTTTTCAGAAAAGCGATCGCGGCAAACCAGGAAGTGCTATTATCATGAATTGCATATTATAGGACACATCTGCAGAGGATCTGATTATGGATATAGGTTCAGTATATAAATGATTATGGATATAGGTTCAGTATATACAGAAGTACCTCAGCGCGGATGTTCAGAATTCTTTGATCAGTTTTCATGTAGTTCCAGAGCCTAATAGAGGCTTGATTTGGAGGCTCCGCGAAAACAAACAACTGAGCATGAGCAGCTACGAGCATCAGCGCCGATGATTGACAGCCCTTGGCATGACTCGATTGGTTAACCTCGACGGCACTGTGGATTCTGAACTATAGCTAAGAGCAGGGAAGGCGGGACTTGTCAATTTAACAGATTTCTTAAAATTTGTATTCATTTAGAGTTACCGACTATCACTTTAATGTGTTGTTTATATTGTGGTTTTTTTAATCACTTGTTTTGGTCACATTTTAGATTAGCCTTCACTAATTTAGCTAATTTCACTAAATTAGCACTGATAGAAAATGACATTGCTAATTTATATTTATCAAGCACTTAGTTCGGTAAGGCCACGTAGAATAAGGATTAATAACTAACTACCTACATCTAACTAACTACCAACTGACACTTTCTCATGTGTAGGGCTAGGGTTCGTGCGCACACCAGACTCCTAGGCAATGTTGGTGAAGTGTCTTGCCTAAAGACACAACAACACTTTTGCACTTTCTAGCCGCAGGCGATATATCTATTCATTAAATCAAATATCCCACTACTAGAACTAGGAGTGCTACCCTTTTTAGTCATCTCTGTTCAGTCATTTTATGTTATTATATATGTGTCCCTATGTTTTCAAATATTCCTCATTCTAAAAGGCAAAATGCCAAAGTAAATATTGTCAAGATCTAGTTTTAGGGTCGACATGAGCACAAACGAAGCTGAATGTTTTTTTCTTTAACACACTTTATCTTGATGTTTGTGATGCAGCACTCTGAGGCAGAGAGCCGACCCGGTCTACAGCCCTCCACTGCAGATCTCTGGACTGTGCTGGAGGCTCAAAGTCTATCCGGTGAGTGTGTGTGAGAGAGTATGTGGAAGTGTGTGAGGGAGTTTTTGTGTGTGTGTGTGTGAGAGAGAGCGAGAGAGTGTGTGATGAGGGAGAGAAAGTGTGTAAGAGAGAGAGAGAGAGAAAGTGTGTGAGAGACTGTATGTGTGAGTGTGTGTGTGTATTTATGTGTGTGTGTGTACTGATGATCTGTGTGTGACAGGACGGTAACGGTGTAGTGCGGGGGAACTACCTGTCAGTGTTCCTCGAGCTGTCGGCTGGACTCCCGGAAACCTCCAAGTAGGTACCTGTGTGTGTGTGTGTGTGTGTGTGTGTGTGTGTGTGTGTGTGTGTGTGTGTGTGTGTGTGTGTGTGTGTGTGTGTGTGTGTGTGCGTGTGCGTGTGCGTGTGCGTGTGCGTGTGCGTGTGCGTGTGCGTGTGCGTGTGCGTGTGCGTGTGCGTGTGCGTGTGCGTGTGCGTGTGCGTGTGCGTGTGCGTGTGCGTGTGCGTGTGCGTGTGTGTGTGTGTGTGTTTGTGTTAGTAGTCTATTGTATTAAAAGCCTGCATACTTGGCTAAGCCCCTAAAAAAAGATGACAACGGTCCTTCTCTCTATCAGTAGGATTACATCAAGATAAAACGCCCGTGTTTTGTCTCATTTTCGCTCCGCAGTTCCCTTTTGAAATCCTTCAGTTCAAGCTGGGAATTGGAAAAAAATTGAGGATTCAAAAGTATAGTCGATACAACAAGCAGACATCATAGAGGAACATAAACCTCAGATGAAAATGACAACAAAGAGAAAACACAAAAGTGAAACAATTATCCCAATACTTTTCTCTGTATCGATTTATTTGTAAAATATTGCAATACTGAAGAGAATTGTTTCCCCCCCACTACTACTTTAGTGACTAATGTCTTCCGGCTGTGGTGCTGTGGATGCTGCTTCAGTGTCTTTGTGCGTCCTCAGGTATGAGTACCGTGTGGAGATGGTGCACCAGGCCTCTAGCGATCCCACTAAGAACATCATCCGAGAGTTTGCCTCTGACTTCGAAGTGGGCGAGTGCTGGGGCTATAACCGCTTCTTCAGACTGGACCTGCTGGCCAGCGAGGGCTACCTCAACATGCAGACGGACACACTGGTGCTACGGTGGGCACTGCTCACACTGACAACACTGTTCCCGCACCTAAACTGCAGACTGTAAACAGGTCTAAGTCTCAGCCACACTCATCAGGAACTGTTCTGTAAAAGCTGATCGATCCATGGTACTTACACTGGTAAATACTTGTCATTATGTGGTACATTTAAGTCTTTCAGGTACTTCTAGGTCCATACGGTGGTAACTAACAGAGCATGTCTTTACAACATCCTCTTTATTCATTATCTAACATCTAACTTGATCAAGTTTATTAGTATAGCACAGATCATACACAAAGTAACTGAAAGTGCTTAACAAAACAAGATAGAAACAATACAAGGCATCAAAATAATCACAATTAATTAAAAAGAGTAAAGATACAGTCCCTCAGTTGTGCACATTTGAACGTTGTCAGAGAAGAAGCTGTCTCACATTTTCAGGACGACCTTTCCAGATGTTTTAATTATCAATCATTGCATACTTGTGACTCTTTGGAGATGATCTCTCATCAGCTGCTGATGGTGTTACAGGTACCAGGTGCGCTCGCCAACCTTCTTCCAGAAGTGCAGGGACCAGTACTGGTACATCAGCCAGCTGGAGTCTGCTCAGAGCGGATACATCCAGCAGATCAACAACCTCAAGGAGGTATGTTCCTTCTGTGCTCAGGGGCCTCAGTCAGGGGCTGTGTTTGTGCTCAGGGGCCCCCGTCAGGAACTGTGTCTGTGCTCAGGGGCCCCGTCAGGGACTGTGTCTGTGCTCAAGGGGCTGTGTCTGGGGCTGTGTCTGGGTCCTCATGTCTCTCCTGTATTACCCGTTGCAGAGGCCTCATGTGTCTCCTGAGGGCCTCATGTCTGTCCTGGGGACCTCATGTCTCTCCTGGGGTCCTCATGTCTCTCCTGTATTACCCGTTGCAGAGGCCTCATGTGTCTCCTGAGGGCCTCATGTGTCTCCTGAGGGCCTCATGTCTGTCCTGAGGGCCTCATGTCTGTCCTGAAGGCCTCATGTCTCTCCTGAAGACCTCATGTCTCTCCTGAGGGCCTCATGTCTGTCCTGAGGACCTCACGTCTCTCCTGGGGTCCTCATGTGTCTCCTGTATTACCCGTTGCAGAGGCTGGCCATCGAGCTGTTCCGCTGTCAGACGTCCCGCAGCTCCTCCCCCCCAGACCTGCGCCTGTGCTCGGACCCCCCAGCCTCAGAGAGAGAGCCCACCTGCACCAAGAGCTCCGAGGACAAGTCTGTGTGTCGGCCCAAGAGGGGGGAGGACATGCCCCGGCCCCTGCAGGACGACTCCAACGTGAGTACAGGGGCTGAACCCAGAATCTGCGGCTGGTTCTGAGACGAGATCAGACGAGATATTTCTTTACTTTCCAATGATACATTGTCAGGATGTGGAGTATGGAACCGTGTGTCCACTGTCTCCTTACTTTTGCTACGTTTTCACTGACTCGACTCTGTTTGAGAGCATTCCCTTTGCTTTCTAGATCAACTCCACACTGCTTTAGCTGTTTTTAGACTCTCAGGTCGCCGACGTCAGATCGGTTTGGTATTGACTCGGCCCGGTTTGAACCAGGGCTATTACTAAAAAAATACCGGGTAGCAGCTATAGTGAGCCGGTGGAAACGCCTGCAAACGGAGGGGAGAGTCGAGTCGGGGCGAACCGGCCCTTTAGTCACATTATCCCAGACCCCCATACTGCTAACATGTAACATACAACTATACATTTCTCTTGCACTAGAATATACTTTTTTATTGTTTTATTTGATTGTTTTATATTAATTTCACACAGCATGGTCACCAAACGTACATACAAAACTTACAATACATAACATAACACAATGACAAAACCCACTTACCATACAATAGTACAACAAAATACACATGCTGCAGACGGGACAGATGCGTAGTAAACAGGTAAGACAAAGACAAAAAAATAAAAATACATGCTTCTTTATTATGCTAAAGTTAAAGGAGCAGTATGTAAAAAATCTGGCCAAAAGTGGTACTGCACTCTCCCTGACTCAGGTTCTGGCGCCCCAATCACAGACTTTCTCATTGGTAAAACGATGTAGGGCGAGACATGGAAATTAAAACAAAAACAAGATTTGGGGGCTGGAAAACTGAGAGATATTTGAATTTCTAAATTAAAGAAGTATTGGAAAAGAGCAGTTTATTATACAGATTTGGGCCCTTTAATGATGACTTTACATGAAAATCTTACATATTGCTATTTTAAGATATATTCCTACTGGTGATGCACTGAAATGTCCCCACTGTCATACAAAAAAGGGTTTACATTACTTGTCCAACAGACTGCACCAAATACGCTCAGTTTCCCAACATCCATCCACGGATGTAGGTCAGGTCACTCTCTCGCTTCTGTCAGGACGGTGGGCGAGCTCCTTATTCACGGCACTTTTGTAGCTGCTGAACGTGAGACAAAAAATGCAGAACATGGATGCTTTCCTGTTCCTAAAAAGTTATGAGGGACCTCGTTTCTGCCCATTCAGATTCAGTTTATTCACCATTTGCAGTAAAACCACATTAAAATACTTGTGCAAAATCAATCATTAAAAACAGTTTCAATACAAGTGAAGATCATTAAAGTGCTTTGTTCAGACTGAAAGAAGCTGTTAGCATGTTAGCACGTTAGCATATCCAGATGTCCTGCAGCCAACGATGTCTTCTGCCAGAGGGAAGAAGCTGGAACATGGCTTTTCCAGGGACCAGAAGAGTCATTGATTAATCTGAAAGCTTGATTTAAGAATCTGGATTCATAAAGAACCTCCAGAACAGACAGATCACAGTCCTCTTTTAGAGCAGAGCATCTTTCTCTGGTCTCTCTCCGGACTCTTTATGGTCTCTCTCTCTGGTCTCTCCCTCTCTGGTCTCTTTCTCTGGTCTCTCTTTCTAGTCTCTCTCTCTGGTCTCTCTCTGGTCTCTTTCTCTGGTCTCTCTTTCTATTCTTTCTCTCTGGTGTCTCTCTGGGCTCTCTCCCTTTCTGGTTTCTCTGGTCTCTCTTTATTCTCTCTCTGGTCTCTCTCTCTACCTCCCTCTCTCGATCTCTCTCTCTGCTCTCTCTCTCTCTGCTCTTTCTCTTTGATCTCTCTCTGGTCTCTCTTTTCTCTCCCCTTGGTCTCTCTCTCTTTCTCTCTGGTCTCCCTCTCTGATCTCTCTCTCTCTTCTGGTCTCTCTCTCTGGTCTCTCCCCCTGTTCTCTCTTTCTCTCTCTGGTCTCTCTCTCTCTCTCTCTCTGGTCTCTATTTTCTGTGACCCACACAGTCACAGACCCAACAAACAAACGGTTAATGGTTTGTTTGGTGCAGCGATGATGTCACCTCTGGAGGGTAAAGCATCTATAGGTGACACATGCCAGACCTGTGACTTGTTTAACATAGTTTTGGAGGGACATTGAGATTCCAAACGTTGTGGTCAGGAGCTGTCGGACGGGGACCTGGAGGTGGACTGTCTCACGGAGGAGGAGGTGAACCCTCTGGACGGCAGCAGCACCTCAGGGAGCTCCACCGCCACCAGCAACACGGAGGAGAACGACATAGACGAGGAGACCATGTGAGTGCTTCCCATTGGCCCTGCTCTGCTCAGACGGGGGAGCAGCCGTCTACACAGAGCTCCAGCACACGGTCACGCACGTTGCAACATCCATCCCTCATGAAATAGTTGGACTAGTTAGTAGCTTCATCCAATATCCACTAATACATCTGTCCATACACAACTATGACAGTTTAGCAACGTTTCCACCAGCCCCACTCTACTCTACTCTACTCTACTCTATTCCTAGGTAACCATGGCTTCCAGCAGTACTGTCAATTCATTTTTTTATTCAATTTCAATTCAATTTTTGGACAACCCCAAAGCACAATAGGTTCAAATACAGGAAATGCAATGATTAAAAAATACATAGAGCCATTGGTTCATAAGCGGCAGAGACCAATATCCTGGAGCATCACTGCTGTCCTTAGACCAGGGGTGTCAAACTCATTTTGGTCCGGGGCCAAATACAACCTAATTGAATCTCAAGTGGGCCGGACCAGAAGATGCTCTACAAAAATACCCAAAAACGGTACAAAGGCCAACTTTTTGTGCACATAAACACATTTATATAAAAGTTCCTTTAAAACACTGTCCTTTAATACTCAGTTTTCTGTTACAAACTTAAATGTAACAGTGAGTTTTTCATAGTGCAAATAATGTAATGTATTTACAATATTACATTGTAAATGGCATTTCACAATATTTATATTAGTAAATGTATGTTAGCTTTGTTTTAAGGCCCATTACAGAGAAAACTTGCTCACAAAGGTAAAGTAGGTAAAGCACTTTAACACAGCACCTCAGTTTAACCATCTTCAGTGTGGTAAGGTCCATGGTTATGTTATTATCACAGAGAAAGCATCAAACTGACCATGTTTCAGTTGAAATGAACAAAACAACTTCCATAACGTGATCCATTCTTAACGACTGCAGCAGTGTCTCTGTAAAATACAGTCATATGTCCAAAAAGCGTAGGACCAGCCCACACTGTCCAACACACCAGCAACAACAGCACCAGCAGCAGCGCTCAAAACTCCTCTGTGATCGTTTCAGTAACACCACAAATATCAAATAAACATAATCAAATGAATATGCGACATCAGTAACATCAGTCTCTCATCAATCTCATGAGACCATGAGTCTGCAGCCTGGATAAGAGTTTTAACAAACTCTCTTACTGTGCGGCTGCGATGCTAATGCTATGTTATGGTTAGCACAGGTAGCTTGTCTTTACAGCAGTCAGCAGCAGCACTAACCTCTCACAGACTGCTGTTTCTTCAGGGCCAGACATGTTTATCTTCTGTCTTCTCAATTCTCCGCTCAAAGTGCCGTATCGCAGAGTCTCGTACTTTAAGATGTTATTCCTTCAGCACCGCTCTGGTGGTGCCAGCTACAGACAATGCAACTCGCTGCTGAGCGCGCCGCGGCGTCGGATTTTTTAAAAACATTATTATTATCATTATAATTTTACATAAATGAGCCGCGGGCCGTATCAAATCTCTTGGCGGGCCAAATCCGGCCCGCGGGCCGCATGAATAACACCCCTGCCTTAGACCCTCCTACTGTCAGTTAGAACACTTTAACCATCCAAATTAGAGAATCCCAATCAGGGCAGAGTAAAGCTGAGTAGAGTAGAGCCTAAACCAGAAGGAGAGTCCTCATGTGTGGTGTCTGCAGGTCTGGAGAGATCGACATAGACTTTGTGGGAAACCTGGACACAGAAGAAGGAGAGCTTCCCGAGGACCTGGTGGGAGCCACAGGTGACTGTAGGGCTGCTACTTTTTCACTTCCTGTCTCTAGACTATTATTAATGACAAGAATTACATGGGAGTTTGACTGAAGCAATCTCACACAGTTTTTAATAATGATAATAATAATAAATGTTATTTATAATGCACTTTACATTTCAGCGAAATCTCAAAGTGCTACAAAACAGGGAACATCCCCCAAGATATACAACATTAAAAATTAAAAACCTTTTATAATACATCAAATATAGACACCATCATAAAACATAAAAACATAACTACTGCACAATTCTAAAAGGCCTGTTTGAATAGAAATGTCTTTAGGCCTTTTCCGTTTTTGACTGGTCTGCTCCGGATACAGGAGTTTGGGAAAAAATCAATACTTGATCATTCTAAAAATCTGTGTCAGAGTAACTAACAATTTCAAGAGATCTTTATTGTTTTGTTTTTAGTTTTTTTATGCATGCCTTTACCTATTTTTTATGACTTCCTGGTACAATGGCAATGATTAAAAATCTGGTTCTGATTCTGGAAAAGCGTTCAGAAACTTTGAAAGAGTAAAACGTTTGACGTGTGTCCTCCTGTGCCCTCCTCTGTGTCCTCCTCTGTGTCCTCTGTCCTCCTCTGTGTCCTCCTCTGTCCTCCTTGGGTCCTCCTCTGTGTCCTCTGGTCCTCCTCTGTGTCCTCCTCTGTCCTCTGTGTCCTCCTCTGTCCTCCTCTGTGTCCTCCTCGGGTCCTCCTCTGTGTCCTCTGGTCCTCCTCTGTGCCCTCCTCGGGTCCTCCTCTGTGTCCTCTGGTCCTCTTCTGTCCTCCTCTGTGTCCTCTGGTCCTCCTCTGTGTCCTCCTCTGTGTCCTCCTCTGGTCCTCTTCTGTCCTCCTCTGTGTCCTCTGGTCCTCCTCTGTGTCCTCTGTCCTCCTCTGTGTCATCTGTGTCCTCTGTCCTCCTCTGTGTCCTCCTCGGGTCCTCCTCTGTGTCCTCTGGTCCTCCTCTGTGTCCTCCTCGGGTCCTCCTCTGTGTCCTCTGGTCCTCCTCTGTGTCCTCCTCGGGTCCTCCTCTGTGTCCTCTGGTCCTCCTCTGTGCCCTCCTCGGGTCCTCCTCTGTGTCCTCTGGTCCTCCTCTGGTCCTTCTCTATGTCCTCTGGTCCTCCTCTGTCCTCCCCTGGTCCTCCTCTGTCCTCCTCTGGTCCTCTTCTGTCCTCCTCTGTGTCCTCTGGTCCTCCTCTGTCCTCCTCTGGTCCTCCTCTGTGTCCTCCTCTGGTCCTCTTCTGTCCTCCTCTGTGTCCTCTGTCCTCCTCTGTGTCCTCCTCTGTCCTCCACTGTCCTCCTCTGTGTCCTCCTCTGTGTCCTCCTCGGGTCCTCCTCTGTGTCCTCTGGTCCTCCTCTGTGCCCTCCTCGGGTCCTCCTCTGTGTCCTCTGGTCCTCCTCTGGTCCTCCTCTGGTCCTCCTCTGGTCCTTCTCTATGTCCTCTGGTCCTCTTCTGTCCTCCTCTGGCCCTCCTGTGTCCTCGTCTGGTCCTCCTCTGTGTCCTCTGGTCCTCCTCTGTCCTCCTCTGGTCCTCCTCTGTCCTCCTCTGGTCCTCTTCTGTCCTCCTCTGTGTCCTCTGGTCCTCCTCTGTGTCCTCCTCTGTCCTCCTCTGTGTCCACACCTGTCCCACCGTGTTGTGCCTGTGCTTGCAGGGGGGGCAGGCTGCGTCCCTCGCCTCTCCCGGGGCTTCAGTGGTGCAGCTGTAGGGGGCGCTGTGGGCTCGGCTGGAGGTCTGCTGGAGATGGACCCTGTGATCCTGCTGCAGCTGCTGGAGCTGAAGGAGCACAGCAGCGTGGAGTCAGTGTGGGGGCTGCAGCCACGGCCGCCTCTCTCCCTGCTCAGCCAAGGTCACCCACCCCCTCCCCCCCCGTTTACACCTCTGTATATGTGTATTTATTTATCCATGTGTTTGAAAGAAGTGAAACGCATGACTGAGAACTCATTTATGCAAGAGAAAAAAACTGCACTAAAATTTGCACCTGAATTGATAAATCTGGCTCCTTTACACACAATGCTGTACAAACATTGATGTTACCGCGGAAACAAGATAAAGATTAAGGGATCCTTTATCCGTCCCACAGCGGGGAAATTTCAGTGTTGCATCACAAGTTACAGAACAGTAGGGAAGAGGAGCTCATGGCACAAGATAAGTGAAAAATAGCTCTATACTAAGTAAAATAAAAAAAACTCTAGCATCAAAGAACAAGTTTAAAATCTCTATCTAATCTCTATAAGATTTCTCGGCCCCTCCCTCCCACCTACAGTGCCTTGCAAAAGTATTCGGCCCCCTTGAACCTTTCAACATTTCGCCACATTTCAGGCTTCAAACATAAAGATATAAAAATTTTATTTTTTGTCAAGAATCTACAACAAGTGGGACACAATCGTGAAGTGGAACGAAATTTATTGGATTATTTAAACTTTTTTAACAAATAAAAAACTGAAAAGTGGGGCGTGCAATATTATTCGGCCCCCTTGCGCTAATACTTTGTAGTGCCACCTTTTGCTGCAATTACAACTGAAAGTCGCTTGGGGTATGTCTCTATCAGTTTTGCACATCGAGAGACTGGAATTCTTGCCCATTCTTCCTTGCAAAACAGCTCGAGCTCAGTGAGGTTGGATGGAGAGCGTTTGTGAACAGCAGTCTTCTTTCCACAGATTCTAGATTGGATTCAGGTCTGGACTTTGACTTGGCCATTCTAACACCTGGATACGTCTCTTTGTGAACCATTCCATTGTAGATTTGGCTTTATGTTTTGGATCATTGTCCTGTTGGAAGATAAATCTCCGTCCCAGACTCAGGTCTTTTGCAGACTCCAACAGGTTTTCTTCCAGAATGGTCCTGTATTTGGCGCCATCCATCTTCCCATCAATGTTAGCCATCTTCCCTGTCCCTGCTGAAGAAAAGCAGGCCCAAACCATGATGCTGCCACCACCATGTTTGACAGTGGGGATGGTGTGTTCAGGGTGATGAGCTGTGTTGCTTTTACGCCAAACATATCGTTTTGCATTGTGGCCAAAAAGTTCGATTTTGGTTTCATCTGACCAGAGCACCTTCTTCCACATGTTTGGTGTGTCTCCCAGGTGGCTTGTGGCAAACTTTAAACGAGACTTTTTGTGGATATCTTTGAGAAATGGCTTTCTTCTTGCCACTCTTCCATAAAGGCCAGATTTGTGCAGTGCACGACTGATTGTTGTCCTATGGACAGACTCTCCCACCTCAGCTGTAGTTATCTGCAGTTCATCCAGAGTGATCATGGGCCTCTTGACTGCATCTGTGATCAGTCTTCTCCTTGTTTGAGATGGAAGTTTGGAGGGACGGCCGGGTCTTGGTAGATTTGCAGTGGTCTGATACTCCTTCCATTTCAATATAATTGCTTGCACAGTGCTCCTTGAGATGTTTAAAGCTTGGGAAATCTTTTTGTATCCAAATCCGGCTTTAAACTTCTCCACAACAGTATCTCGGACCTGCCTGGTGTGTTCCTTTGTCTTCATGGTTCTGCGCTTTAAACAGAACCCTGAGACTATCAAAGAGCAGGTGCATTTATACGGAGACTTGATTACACACAGGTGCATTCTATTTATCATCATCAGTCATTTAGGACAACATTGGATCATTCAAAGATCCTCACTGAACTTCTGGACTGAGTTTGCTGCACTGAAAGTAAAGGGGCCGAATAATATTGCACGCCCCACTTTTCAGTTTTTTATTTGTTAAAAAAGTTTAAATTATCCAATACATTTTGTTCCACTTCACGATTATGTCCCACTTGTTGTTGATTCATGACAAAAAATTTAATTTTTATATCTTTATGTTTGAAGCCTGAAATGTGGCAAAATGTTGAAAGGTTCAAGGGGGCCGAATACTTTCGCAAGGCACTGTATGTACCTACTGAAGAGTCTGTTGTTGTTTTTTTGGCATGTCTTTACCTCAGGCATGTCCAAACTCAGTCCCGAGGGGCTAATTGCGGCCCTCAGTGTCATTTTCTGTGGCCCTCTGCCTTGCCAACCCAAAGTAGTTAGTAGTAGTAATGTTGCTAATGTACCTGGTGAGATGATAAGTATTTATCATTCAGCCAACTTCAGTTCTGTTATAGATCATCATAAAGCTCAGAACAGCCCAATGCCAGTTTTTCAGTCTGTGATGTCGACCCCTGGACTAGTCTGGTGAACTAAAGTGGCCCTCTTACTAAAAAGTTTGTCTTTACCTATTTTTATGCTTACAACTTGTTTGCAACTTGAGCCAAAGCAAATTCCTAGTTTATGACAATTTATTAGAAGCTGGCTCTGATTCTGAAAATATGAACATACGAAGCCATTACGCACTTCAGAAAACTTCCAGAAAAGAGTAAAAAGTCCTCCCTCCCCCGCCTTTATACGCACTAAAGAATTGTTTTTCTGGACAAAATAAATTCCATTCCCGACAAAAACTGATATTAAAGTGCCATGTCCTCCCTGTGTGTGCAGCCCACTTGAGGAAAGAGCGTGAGCAGCGGCGCCCCCAGGTGGTGAAGCGCTCTGTCCCGGACTCCGCGGTCCTGCTGCGACTCAAGGCCCAGATGGCCGAGGTCCGGAACAAGATGTGTGACGCCAAGAGCCTGCTGGACGTGCGGGACACCGGGGACACACTGCCGGGGACCTCAGGGGACCCGCCCTCTCCGGTACCCGACTGTGAGAGGGTACCGGGGCCCAAGGGTGAGGAGCCGGAGGGACGGAGAGGACGAGGACAAGCGGGACAGTCAAGTACCAGTGGAGGGCGAGGACGAGTGGGACAGTCAGGTACCAAGAGAGGGAGAGGACGAGCAGGACAGTCAGGTACCAGGAGAGGGAGAGGACGAGCAGGACAGTCAGGTACCAGGAGAGGGAGAGGACGAGCAGGACAGTCAGGTACCAGGAGAGGGAGAGGACGAGCAGGACAGTCAGGTACCAGGAGAGGGAGAGGACGAGCAGGACAGTCAGGTACCAGGAGAGGGAGAGGACGAGCAGGACAGTCAGGTACCAGGAGAGGGAGAGGACGAGCAGGACAGTCAGGTACCAGGAGAGGGAGAGGACGAGCAGGACAGTCAGGTACCAGGAGAGGGAGAGGACGAGCAGGACAGTCAGGTACCAGGAGAGGGAGAGGACGAGCGGGACAGTCAGGTACCAGGCGAGGATGAGGACGAGCGGGACAGTCAGGTACCAGGAGAGGATGAGGACGAGCGGGATAGTCAGGTACCAGGAGAGGGCGAGGACGAGCGGGACAGTCAGGTACCAGGAGAGGGCGAGGACGAGCGGGACAGTCAGGTACCAGGCGAGGATGAGGACGAGCGGGACAGTCAGGTACCAGGAGAGAGCGAGCGGGTTAGTCAGGTACCAGGAGAGGGCGAGGACGAGCGGGACAGTCAGGTACCAGGAGAGGGCGAGGACGAGCGGGACAGTCAGGTACCAGGAGAGGACGAGGGGGACAGTCTGGTACCAGAAGAGGGAGAGAGATGTAGAAAAATTGAGACTGAGAGAGGGGGCGAGACAAAGAGAGAGAGAGAGACAAAGAGCGCAGTGATTCTTTAGCGTTCGAACGTCATACACAGAATTTAATTTTCAGTAATTACTTATGGTTTGTCTGTATTTCTGAATGTATGTATGTGTGTGTGCGTGTCTGTGTCTGTCTGTCTGTGTGTGTCCACAGTGGCCCCCGTCCTGGAGTCCTGTCGGGCCCCTGAGCTGCTGACGCTGGACTCTCTGCTCATGACAGGTACACCCAGGTTCTAGATGAAAAGACCTTTACCTGTGGTTCATAGTCTCACTGGGGGTCGGCCTGTAATACTGTACTGACCCTCCGTAGTCATGGAGACGGACAACCCACAGACAGATACTTTACTGATCCCTGTCGGGGAAATGCAGTTCAGCTGCAGAAACGCATTTAGAACATTTGGAGATCAAGCTGATTTAGAGACGGAAAAGTCCTCAGCCATTCACTCACACACCAAACTCATTCTGGAAATGGATTAAGGGGAAGAAAATAGATGGATGGATGGATGGCATTATTATTTTTATTATTGTTGTTATATAATACATTATCCTTGTGTTTGTGGCAGGAACAGTGAAGGCTGAGGCCCCAGCAGAGAGCCTGTCCTCTGGGGCCCCGAGCCCCAGTCCCAGTCTGCTATTCTCCGGCCCTGGGTTCCTCAGCACAGGGTGAGCGCCTCGTCACTTACTTTTGAAAAGAAAATCAATGTTGTCCACAACAATTCCAGATATGAGTGGATGGAGCTAAAAACCACAGCAGGTCTTCTTCTTGATTGATTGGTTTTATTTTGGTCATCAAACATATGAAATCATATGATTAATTACAACCAAAAGATATGTGTTTTTAAACCCTTGTTCAACTTTATAAGAAAGTATTTGTCTTGTATTTTGTAACATATGTGTGTGTTTGCGTTTGTTAACCTCAGGGGGGCGCCAGAGCAGCCAGAGGGGTTTGGAGCACATCACCCCAGTACACAGCCCCGAGTCAGCGCAGGTATCACCACTGATTTTCACTAGTTGGGCTAAAGTTTTGTACCCCTGCTTTAACTGAGACCAGGGGTGCTTCTTCATGTTTCACTGTCCATCCTAACACCATAAAACACTCAGAACTTGTTAATTATAGCCATTTCTTGCATAGAGCTGATGTCACCTCAATTGAAACGCTTGGATCTGTGAGCCCACACACCAGACTCATTCTAATGTGGGGGAAGTGTCTTGCCTAAAGACACAACCACAGTTTAGCACTTTACAACTGCTGCCGCTCCACTGTGGCACCTGCTGTTCCCAGAGGTCTCCCATCACAGTACTAATCAGGCCCTGCCCTGCACAGCTTCAGAGCTCTGACAGAATTTGGGTTTCACCTGCAGTCAACAGAGTAAACTAATCTGTCACTGAAGTGTTCGTCTGTCATCGATTTGAACCAAGAACAAAAGAGAAAAAACTACTTTGGACATGTGTATGAGGCCAAAGAGCACTAAGTCAGGTACTTATTTTCCGATAACGACCTGCGTAATATACGTTATCCCGCTTATTATACAGCTTTATACCAACAGAACACACAACATAAACTTCAGTCCACTTTTAGGAATGCCAAAAGGTTTATTTAATGACAGAAAATAAAATAGTTCCCAAAGGCTTTCCCGTAGCTATGCTAGCAACAGTTAGGCTAGCAACTTCCAAACTAGAACTCTGGAACTGCATGAAAACTGAACAAAGAATTGTGGACATCAGCGGTGAGTGACCCAAACATAAACCTAACCTAAATCCATAATTCCATCCTCTGCAAATGTGTCCGAAAATGTGCCGGTATCTACTTCCGGGTTTCCGGAGTGCGTTGCCATGGGCAGCGGTCATTATTGTTTTGAGAGGTCCGTTATAGAAAATAATGACCGGTAGAACGTTTTGAAATTACATTCAAATCAATGGAGCATTCTACTGCTGCTGTGAGGAGCCGTGTAATTATGATGTTTAATGATGTTTAAAGCAGAGCGTAATGTGGGACCTTTAAGGACCAATGTTACAGGCCAATCCAGGCTCCCTGGGTCAGGGTTCGGTTTGGTCCCGGTCTGTCTCTGATGTGAATGTGTTCATGATCAGACTCTGTCCCGGTCTCTGTTTCAGACCCGGCCTCAGCTGTGAGCAGTGACAGTGGCACCGAGGACGAGAGCCACTACAGCCCCCCGACAGGTACCGGTGCACCCCCAAAACACACACACACAGACACACACACACGCATGCACGCACACTGACACACAGGACTACCCTACTGCACATGAGAAGATGCTTCCTACGAGAATGTGCAGTAAAGAACCACATGTGTCACATTATTATGCTAAAGTTAGAGATCGGTCTGTGGTCCCAGGTCTGTGGTCCCAGGTCTGTGGTCCCAGGTCTGTGGTCCCAGGTCTGTGGTCCCAGGTCTGTGGTCCCAGGTCTGTGGTCCCAGGTCTGTGGTCCCAGGTCTTTTCTGAGTGTTGTGTTCTGTGGCAGGTGAGCATCTGCTGTCGGAGGACGTGGGGCTGAAGTCTGAGAGGTGACTGGATCCATCGCTCCAGGTCGCACAACAGCATCCCACCAGACCAGAACCATCTAGTCCTGCCCTTCTTTCCCCTCCAGCCCTGCCCATCCTGCCCCTAGTCCTACCCCTCCGGTCCTGCCCCTCCCTAACCTGCTGTGCGAATAAGGCCACGTTCTGCTAAACTGACCATTTCTCCCTTGTACCTCGTCCCAACATCTGAGCCCAAACACACCTGGGGCAGAGAGGACGCTAACATCTGGACGCTAACATCTGGACGCTAACATCTGGACGCTAACATCTGGACGCTAACATCTGGACGCTAACATCGGGAGGCTAACATCTGGACGCTAACATCTGGACGCTAACATCGGGAGGCTAACATCGGGAGGCTAACATCAGGAGGCTAACATTCTCCCTCCCTCCCCCTCACAGAACACTCTATGCTGAATCTGAGCGACAAAGAACAAATGTATCGTCTCCAAATGAGTTCTGCGATGAGAATTTCCACTTCCTGGTTTGTCATTAAAGTTTATAGACATTGTTTCCGTTTCCAAAACAGGAAAATCACTGGAGACGGTGTTTTACAGGCCTGACTTGGCCTGACTCGGCCCGATTCGACTCTGCTCTACTCTACATGGTTACGTTTTCCATTATGCTTTTGTGTCTGGTACTGTATCCTAGCAACCTACCATAAGTCAAAAATGTCTAAAATGTGGCAAAATGCATGTTAATCTGAGCCGATTTTTGATTGCCTTGAAACCCGATTTTCCAATGGGACAAAGCAAAATGTTCTTGTTTTATTTTCTCTTTCCAAGGGAGATATTTCTTTCAGTTCTTGCAATGAGACTCAATAACTTTGTCCCGTTGGTGAATCTTATTTTAACACTGTCAGAATGTGCTCAAATTAACATAAAAACCACTCATTTCAGGCCATTTTTACCTCATATTTTATTACTTTTTGCAGTAGAGTTAGAAAACTTCAGCACCAGCTCGGCCTGGATCCAACCAGGGCCCAAAGGGACTAAAGGAGGCCCTGGTTCTGGTCAAACAGGGCCAGTGGAAATGCTCCATATGTGAATTTTTGCTCTTTTCTTCTAAAGTCTGTGGGTCCCATCTTTTCTGAGGAGACCGTTTCACACAGATTCAATAATACATGAAGATTGTCGTTTTGGTCACGGGCCCCTCAGCTGTTTCTGACACTCTCCACTGGGGGGGTCCTCACTGGGGGTCCTCACTGATGCGTGACCTGCTCCTCTGCTTGTTACAGTGCAATATTGGCGCCATTTTGTACGTATTCAAAGTAGTTGTAAATATGTGTACATTTGTGGCCTGCATGGACCTCGGGCGCATGACTCTGACTCCCTGAAACTGTCTTTATTTATGTTGATTCAAATAAATGCTGTTTTACCTTCATAGCAGAGATCTGGAGCTGTTAATGTCACTTCATTATTTTCTGGGTCATTCTCCAAAAACCTGTGCGACAGTGGGCTAGAAAAGTGCAGTCAGTTAAATGTATCATATAAAAGACAAACACAGTGAGATTTGAGAATGAATCAAGTTTGTGTCATTCATGGAGCTCCCAGGAAGCTGCATAGCTTAAAGGTGGTGCCCCAAAAACAACAAATAAAGGTGCTCTTTATTGATCCCCGTAGGGCAGTTCAATCCTCTGCATCTGATGCCACAAAGGCTTTCATCAGGAGCAGTGGTCGCCGTGGTAACAGCGCCCGGGAACCCATCTCCAGATGTTGATGCTCGGCTTGGTCAGGACCAGAGCCGGAGGATTTAACCTAGTGAGCATGTTTTTATTGGTAGAGGAAACTGGAGTACCCGGAGGAAACCTACACAGGCACGGGGAGAACATGCAAACACCACTCAGAAAGAGACTGTTCAAACCGGGATTCGAGCCCAGGACCTTCTTCCTGAGAGGCGAGAGTGCTATCCACTCAGCCACCGTGCCGCCCAAATGTGACACTTTATACCTTTATACAATCCTAAAGCCATTTCTAAACATTTTACACACAAGTCCTTACAAAAAGCATTGTTGCAGGTCACCGATGCCATGTTCAAAGCTAATTTGCAGACCTGCTGTAAATGCTTTAATACCAGTCTTTCAAAGTATATATATATATATATATATATACACAGTGCCTTGCGAAAGTAATCGGCCCCCTTCAACCTTTCAACATTTTGCCACATTTCAGGCTTCAAACATAAAAATATAAAATTTTAATTTTTTGTCATGAATCAACAAGTGGGACACAATCGTGAAGTGGAACAAAATGTATTAAATAATTTAAACTTTTTTAACAAATAAAAAACTGAAAAGTGGGGCGTGCAATATTATTCGGCCCCTTTACTTTCAGTGCAGCAAACTCAGTCCAGAAGTTCAGTGAGGATCTTTGAATGATCCAATGTTGTCCTAAATGACTGATGATGATAAATAGAATGCACCTGTGTGTAATCAAGTCTCCGTATAAATGCACCTGCTCTTTGATAGTCTCAGGGTTCTGTTTAAAGCGCAGAGAGAACCATGAAGACAAAGGAACACACCAGGCAGGTCCGAGATACTGTTGTGGAGAAGTTTAAAGCCGGATTTGGATACAAAAAGATTTCCCAAGCTTTAAACATCTCAAGGAGCACTGTGCAAGCAATTATATTGAAATGGAAGGAGTATCAGACCACTGCAAATCTACCAAGACCCGGCCGTCCCTCCAAACTTTCATCTCAAACAAGGAGAAGACTGATCAGAGATGCAGCCAAGAGGCCCATGATCACTCTGGATGAACTGCAGATAACTACAGCTGAGGTGGGAGAGTCTGTCCATAGGACAACAATCAGTCGTGCACTGCACAAATCTGGCCTTTATGGAAGAGTGGTATTTCTCAAAGATATCCATAAAAAGTCTTGTTTAAAGTTTGCCACAAGCCACCTGGGAGACACACCAAACATGTGGAAGAAGGTGCTCTGGTCAGATGAAACCAAAATCAAACTTTTTGGCCACAATGCAAAACGATATGTTTGGCGTAAAAGCAACACAGCTCATCACCCTGAACACACCATCCCCACCTCAGCTGGAGCAGGTGCATTTATACGGAGACTTGATTACACACAGGTGCATTCTATTTATCATCATCAGTCATTTAGGACAACATTGGATCATTCAAAGATCCTCACTGAACTTCTGGACTGAGTTTGCTGCACTGAAAGTAAAGGGGCCAAATAATATTGCACGCCCCACTTTTCAGTTTTTTATTTGTTCAAAAAGTTTAAATGATCCAATAAATTTCGTTCCACTTCACGATTGTGTCCCACTTGTTGTTGATTCATGACAAAAAATAACATTTTTATATCTATGTTTGAAGCCTGAAATGTGGCAAAATGTTGAAAGGTTCAAGGGGGCCAAATACTTTCGCAAGGCACTAATATATATATATATAATTATATAAAAACTCATAAGTAGAAAAAGCATAGTGACATTCTGAAATTGCGGTACTTCCTTATTTACAAATGAATCAATGATAGTTCAGGGAAAGGTACAAAAACTATTGCACAAATTTAAGTTTTCATTTTTTACAGTGAGGAATTGGACGAGCACAGATACAAGGGCCGTCTTTACTACAGTAAGATGTGGGGGGGTCTATCATGCTGTGTGTCCAGTGCAGGAGCATTTTGTTTCAATTGTACACTATTTTATTTTGTATCATCAAAGCATTTTAAGTAGATAATTATATATTATTTTATATCTATGCAAAAAAAGGAAAAGGAAAAAGTTCTATAAATCCTACTTTTATCAAGAATGTTTTGTTTAAAACTATAGTCTAAATATAGAAAAAGGCTGAAAAAAAAAAAGCATAATACGAGCAAACGTAGTCACCAAATATTTTAATTCAATCTGAGCTTTTTATTGGAATAAAATTGCCTAAATATATTCTTGTTTTTCCTCATTACTCATTAGGGGGAAAAAAAAGGAACAATTCTTACCCCATTGATTATTTTATGTTTCAAAGAAAAAGTCTTTGATTTTTTCGTTTCCAGCGAGGGACTTTCTCAGTGAAGTTTCTTGGAATCTTGTCAAAGTTAAGAGATGCATGGATTCTACTCGACATCAGCAGATTCTGGAAAACGATGTCCGGGAATCGGGATCTTTCAACAAGACACCGCCCTCCAACACTCAGAGTCTACAAACCTCAGTCCTCAGACCTAGATAAACTTTTATGGTGTTATTTAAAACGGGCTGTCCAGGCTCGGAAGCCTGAACTAGAGATGATCTACAACGAAGAATGGTCCAAAATACCATAATTGGAGGCTGCCGTTTCTGCAAAAGGAGGATGTACAAAGTATTTTTTGTGTGTGTGGTGCCTACATTTATGCACAAGCCTTATTTGTTTTAATAATAATAAAGTTACTGGTTTATTATTTATTTTCAATGGTTTTCTGGGTCACTACAAAAATTCAAGGGTATCATAAAGTTTGTAGCCCACATTCTTCCTCAGAGATAGTGTCGCTTTTATTTATATGTATTTAGAACTGGACATGAGAATCTGCTCTTAATGCGGAGAACTTCATTTCCCACAATGCACTGAAACATTGAGAAAAATCCGATTCCTGTGCCATGAAAGTGGAGCACACATGTGGGTCAGGGTGATGGAGGCCCCTGAGGTCCCCTGTGTGGGGCAGAGGCAGGAGGCCCAGGGACTGGTTTATGCAGAAAGACTCAAACATTCTGGACTTTTTAGATTCGAGAGATGTGCAGGATTCAGGCCTGTAGCAGAAAGAGGTCATACCAATCCAATTTATCTGTATAGCACATTTTATGAGACACATTTCCAAAGTTCTGCACAGACAAAAGTAACACATTAAAATATACAAGTCTACCAGCTTTTAATATAATAGTTACTTTATAGACTTACTCTAAGCCAGAGTCTAAACCAGGCATGTCTAAACCAGGCATGTCCAAACTGCGGCTCGAGGGCCAAACGCGGCCCTCTGTGTGATGGGCAGAGGACCGTTGAGGCGCTTTCACAGCATCGTTCAGCCAGCATGACAAACAAGCCAACTGTTTAAGTTCCAGGAATTAGTGATTCAAATTCTACAACTGTGGTTTGAAAGCGAGTTTCTGAAAGTGTTTGAAAAGAGGAGACGGAGACTGACCAGGGTTTAGAATGTACTTTATTATGTACAGATAAATAATCCACATAGAACACATTGTACCCTGCGCTCCCAGCTCCTCTCCTGCAGCGACGGGGCCTCCTCCTGATCTGCACTGACCCTGACCCACGGGACCCAGAGAGATCCGAGACGCAGACCCACGGGACCCAGAGAGATCCGAGACGCAGACCCACGGGACCCAGAGAGATCCGAGACGCAGACCCACGGGACCCAGAGAGATCCGAGACGCAGACCCACGGGACCCAGAGAGATCCGAGACGCAGACCCACGGGACCCAGAGAGATCCGAGAAGCAGACCCACGGGACCCAGAGAGATCCGAGACGCAGACCCACGGGACCCAGAGAGATCCGAGACGCAGACCCATGGGACCTAGAGAGATCCGAGACTCGAGATTCATTCTATTTGCTGCTGCTCACCCACAAGCCTTTAGTCTAGAGTCAATGTACACTGCAAAAAATGATGAAATATGAGGTAATAATTGCTTGAATCGATCATTTTGCTTTGTCCCATTGGCAAATCTGAAATAAAGCAGTCAGAATGTGCTCAAATTAAGACACATTTTGCCAAATTTGAGCAATTTCTATTTTTAATCCCTTTTTGCAGTTTATCCTTAGTTCTGGGGGCCTCTCTGGGGCGACCCGAGACCCGCTGGAGGGACTGTCTCTCTGTTGGTCTGGGAACGCCTCAGGATTCCTCCAGAGGAGCTAGAGGAGCTCATCAATTCAAATCTAATAGAATTGAATCTCAAATTTGAACTTGTCGAAATGTTTTTTAGTTGTTTTGAAATCTTGTTTAATTGTTTTGAGATCGAAGTCCACTTTATCTACAAACGAGTGTTTTAGCTGAAAGCTCACGGTCAGAAACACAGACCAGGAGAGTCCTTTGCATTGGCACACATATACCATTATATCTTCTACATATCCATGGCAACAGAACCCGGTCTCTCTCTGTCTGTCTCATCCCTCTGCCACACTTCCTCTCTCTGGTCTCTCTCTGGTCTCTCTCTGGTCTCTCTCTGGTCTCTCTCTGGTCTCTCTCTGGTCTCACTCTGGTCTCTCTCTGGTCTCTCTCTGGTCTCACTCTGGTCTCACTCTGGTCTCTCTCTAGTCTCTCTCTGGTCTCTCTCTGGTCTCTCTCTGGTCTCTCTCTGGTCTCTCTCTGGTCTCTCTCTAGTCTCTCTCTGGTCTCTCTCTGGTCTCTCTCTGGTCTCTCTCTGGTCTCTCTCTGGTCTCTCTCTGGTCTCTCTCTGGTTTCTCTCTGGTCTCTGGTCTCTCTCTGGTCTCTCTCACAGGTCTGCCCTGGTGCTCTGGAGGAGAGAGTGTCTGTGTTCTCTCGCTCACATCTGTATTATTGCTTATTCAGGGCATTCACTCGGCCCCAGGACGAGGGCCCTTGGACCAGGGGCCACATCCCAGTTCTGCAAACAGCCTCCTCAGACCAGAGCCTCAGCTGTGTTCACTGTCGGGAGGATTCTTAAAGGAGACGTGTGATGGAAAGTCTTCTCCCCTGAGCTCATGGTCACGGCTCAGTGATGTCACATGGTTATTACCACCTCTGTGTCTGCTGCCAGTGACACCAGAACTCCCAGAGCATTTGGTAACGAACTTTCTATGGCAGGTAAAGTCCCTTTTCAGAATCCTGAGCCGAGTCCGGGTGGTTTTCCACCAGAGAAGTGACCATAGTTACCATAGCAACACACTGTTTATTCTGAACTATTTCTATCCATCAGTGTTAGCGCTGAGAAAACTTAGGTGAAAAAAAACTGATCTGGTGGAAAACTAAACACGTTTTGGGAGAATTCCTCATAATTCCATAGATTTGAATGAGAGCAGTCAAAATGACTGCCAGTAGTTTTATGATTCCTAGTGTTAACACATTGACTCATTGAACATGTTTGGTTCAACTGAAAACACATGTCTGAAAACCCCATTATTCAATGGACCAACTTGCAGTAGTCATTATAAATATACATATATACAGTACAGAGCAAAAGTGTGGACACCCTCTCTCCTTCACTGAGTTCTTTTCTGTGTAAGGGCTGTTTGACCAATAAGGAGAGTGATGGTGCTGGGCCACATGACCTCCACAGTCACCGGACCTGAACCCAGTCCAGATGGTTATGGACCTGAACCCAGTCCAGATGGTTTTGGGGCTGGACCACAGAGTGAAGGGGTGCAACAAGTGCTTAGCATCATGGGAACTCCTTCAAGACTGTTGAAACCATTTCAGGTCCTCTTGAAGTTCATCCAGAGAATGCCAAGAGTGAAGCAGTATCAGAGCAAAAGAACCAGAATATAACACATAATTTCACTTGGTTCATACTTTTTTTTTTCAGAGCGTACATAATTCCACATGAGTTCTTTCATAGGTTTGATGCCCTCAGTGTCAATCCACCGTTTTCATAATCATGAAAATAAAAAATTATTTGAATGAGAAGGTCTGTACTGTATATATATATATATTGACATTATATGTATGTATAATGTCATTCAAATTGTTCAGTATATTACCCCCAAAACAACGCACAGAAGATGACTTAAAAAATAATTGATTTGTGACCTCATTTCACATTTGTGTGAAACAGTTGTGTCCCAGTGACGATAGAACAGCAGTGGGCCCAGCTCTGAGCCCTCAGGTTCACCCTGAAGGATCACTCTGAGGTTCACCCTGAAGGATCGCCCTCAGGTTCACCCTAAAGGATCGCCCTCAGGTTCACCCTAAAGGATCGCCTTGAACACTGCTGTGAGGAGGACTGTTTGTTTCCTGTTGGGATGTTCTCCGAGCGTCTCAGACTCTCTGGCCTCAGACAGAATGGGGGGGGGCAGCTGTGGTGAGCAGGGGGGGGGTCTCTCCTCAGAACACGTTTCAAATGAAGTCAAATGAAAGGCACATGTCTGCACTTACACCTGGGAGCAGCATGGGGCGCTGCACTGCAGATACACGTTACAGTACCTTCAATACAGAATGATATGGACTGTCCCTGAATCACAGACGCAGCAGACTCCAGAGGGCGCCACCTCCTGGCAGTAGATTTATGGCTTATAAGAACTAGAATAGAACTAGAATCAAAGATGAGTGAAGGACCCTGTGGTAACTACTCACTGAGGACAGACACGTCTTCTATAGAACTCAAACCTTCGAGCCCTAACGGCAGGACACACGTGTGGTGAGCAAAGCACTAGGATGGTACTGATGGTTACCATGGAGATAGGAGTGTAAACTAAACATAGACTTAACTAGGTTAGATGAGCAAACCAGAGTTTGCACAGTGTTATTGCTGAGTGCCCTGTGCGTGGTCAGAGTGAAGACAGACATTCAGTACGAAGACCTGAAGCAGCGGCTCCTGAGGGCTCACTGAGGCAGCTGCAGGCGGGCGTCTCCAGGCCTGTGTCTGCACACCTCTGCAGGGGGATACAGGGGGAAGAGGGGGCCTGGGGCCTGGGGGTTGTGGGGGGTAGACCCCAGGGCCCTACGCAGGCGGCGCCGCTCGTGCCCCGGCCTGAAGGCCGAGCGAGGGCCCCGCCTCGGGCACATCTGAGCTGCTGCGTGAGGAAACAGACAAGACACAGAGGACAGAGGGGCCGTGGAGCCCAGGGGGGCCGTGGAACCCAGCTCCTGAGACCAGAGCAGGGACCTCCGCCGCTGGGGGCCGTCTCTGCCTGAGATCCTGGGCAGGGCGATGGGGCTCTGGAAGGGGGGCCCCATGCTCAGGTTGGGGGGGCCCAGGCTCAGGAGGGGGGGCCCCAGGCTTAGGGTGGTCCTGTCAGTCAAAGAGTCTGTGCGGTCTTCATAGGCCAGGTCCGCAGGGGCCGAACACTGCTGCAGGGGCCAACCTCGAGACTTCAATCCCTGGTCTGCGTTTGAGCCCCCCTCCCCACTACGCTCCACTCTGCTGCCCTCCTCTTCCTCATCCTCCCCCTCCTCTTCCTCCTCCCCTGCCCCTCCCTCCTCTGCTGGCTCCGCCCGCTCCATAGGCTCCTCCTCCTCGTCCAGGCTGCCTTGGCAACGAGGGTCCCTCAGAAACACCACCATGACAGTGATGTTGTCGCTGGAGCCGGCGTCTCGCGCTGAGGCCACCAGTTTGTGTGCGACCATGGTGGTGTCGCCCGTGTTCTCGTTCAGGTGGTCGCTGACCACGCGCACCGCCTCCTCAGGGCCTACCGTGTCCCAGAATCCATCACAGGCCAGGATCAGGTAGTCCTCTGTACCGTCCAGTGGGAACAGGCTGCGGTCTGCGTCGCCACAGATGTACGGCTTGTGTTCAGAGTCCCCTGCAAACACACACTGTTATGTACTACACACACACACACACACAAACACACACTGACACTGACACTCACCTATGGCTCTGGACACAGACAGACTCCCGTTCACTCTCCATGTCCCAAACCAGATCACACATCCTCCCAGAGCCTCGATCCTCTTCTTCTCATCCTGTGAACAGACCCATGTGACCTCAAGGAACCAATCACAGCCCTCCTCATCCTGTAAACAGACCCATGTGACCCAAGGGAACCAATCACAGCCCTCCTCTCTCTGCCCTCTCTTCTTCTACATTTACCTTCTGTCCACGATTTGCGGCAGAGTTTGGTCTTTCACAGTTTGATAAGAGTCAGAGGTCGATAATAGACATATTTATAAACACACACACATATATATATATATATATATATATATGAGACTGAATACTCGTTTGTGAAAGCCAGACCTCTGCTGGGACCGGACCTCGCTCGGACTCTAAAGGCGCATTCAGATGCCGACGCTGGAACGCTAACGCTGGAACGGTAAAGCTTTGCGCCCCAGACGCACATTCCCTAATTTTCAGACGCAGGGGTCTTCACACCAAAAGTCCTGGGCTGCGGTGGCGCCCGCCGGAAGTGACGCCCGCCGACCGCCGGAAGCGGCGCGCGGACTTTGATGCTAACGGAGTTAAGGTAGCGGCTTTTTGTGTAAAGTTCTTCTCCAATAATGCAGCGTCTCTGTCTGAGACCTTTACAGACTTTATATAACAGCAGAATGTGTTCACGGAGGTGACTTTATATAACAGCAGAATGTGTTCACGGAGGTGACTTTATATAACAGCAGTATGTGTTCACGGAGGTGACTTTATATAACAGTAGTATGTGTTCACGGAGGTGACTTTATATAACAGTAGTATGTGTTCACGGAGGTGACTTTATATAACAGTAGTATGTGTTCACGGAGGTGACTTTATATAACAGTAGTATGTGTTCACGGAGGTGACTTTATATAACAGTAGTATGTGTTCACGGAGGTGACTTTATATAACAGCAGTATGTGTTCACGGAGGTGACTTTATATAACAGCAGTATGTGTTCACGGAGGTGACTTTATATAACAGTAGTATGTGTTCACGGAGGTGACTTTATATAACAGCAGTATGTGTTCACGGAGGTGACTTTATATAACAGCAGTATGTGTTCACGGAGGTGCACCATACGTTTATTTTATTATTAAACGGTACTTCCGCATCGGCGAACACGCTCGAAACAGTTCCATAAAGTCACAGGGGCATGAAAACACAAATGTTAACAAGCACTATGTCCCCCATTGTCAACCCTGGTTTAGTCCTGGTTCAGTCCTGGTTTAGTCCTGGTTTTGTCTTGGTTTAGTCCTGGTTTAGTCCTGGTTTAGTCCTGGTTTTAGTCCTGGTTTTTGCGGCTCTCTGATTGGTCGCTGCACGAGCGTCCCGAGGAAACGCTCAGCAACATGTATCTCCTGCGTTTATCCCGAGACGCACATGCAGTTCCACGCTCCAACGTGCGTCACCGCTTTGCAGTGAAAGTCGACGCATGATCCGGTCTGAACGCGGCTTTAGGCCTGACACACCTAAAGACCAGACCTCGCTCAGACTCTAAAGACCAGACCTCGCTCAGACTCTAAAGACCAGACCTCGCTCAGACTCTAAAGACCAGACCTCGCTCTAAAGACCAGACCTCACACTCTAAAGACCAGACCTCACACTCTAAAGACCAGACCTCAGACTCTAAAGACCAGACCTCAGACTCTAAAGACCAGACCTCAGACTCTAAAGACCAGACCTCACACTCTAAAGACCAGACCTCAGACTCTAAAGACCAGACCTCACACTCTAAAGACCAGACCTCAGACTCTAAAGACCAGACCTCGCTCTAAAGACCAGACCTCACACTCTAAAGACCAGACCTCAGACTCTAAAGACCAGACCTCAGACTCTAAAGACCAGACCTCAGACTCTAAAGACCAGACCTCAGACTCTAAAGACCAGACCTCACACTCTAAAGACCAGACCTTAGACTCTAAAGACCAGACCTCACACTCTAAAGACCAGACCTCAGACTCTAAAGACCAGACCTCGCTCTAAAGACCAGACCTCACACTCTAAAGACCAGACCTCAGACTCTAAAGACCAGACCTCACACTCTAAAGACCAGACCTCAGACTCTAAAGACCAGACCTCGCTCTAAAGACCAGACCTCACACTCTAAAGACCAGACCTCAGACTCTAAAGACCAGACCTCGCTCAGACTCTAAAGACCAGACCTCGCAGCAGGTACTCACCTCTCGGTCCGGTTTGTGAGGCTTCATGAGCTCCACCACTTGCCCCCTCCGGACCAGGATGACCTGGGAGTCTCCGAGCCACGCCACATGCAGCGTGTTGCCGCGCAGGAACGTCACCACACCAGTGGTGCCGCAGCGCAGGTGCTGCAACACAACACGTTACTCTACACGTTACTCTACACATTACTCGACACGTTACTCCACATGTTACTCTACACGTTACTCTACACGTTACTCTACATGTTACTCTACATGTTACTCGACATGTTACTCGACATGTTACTCTATACGTTACTCTACATGTTACTCTACACGTTACTCTACATGTTACTCTACACGTTACTCTACATGTTACTCGACATGTTACTCGACAAGTTACTCGACATGTTACTCTATACGTTACTCTACATGTTACTCTACACGTTACTCTACATGTTACTCTACATGTTACTCTACATGTTACTCTACATGTTACTCTACATGTTACTCGACATGTTACTCGACAAGTTACTCGACATGTTGCTCTATACGTTACTCTACATGTTACTCTACACGTTACTCTACATGTTACTCGACATGTTACTCGACAAGTTACTCGACATGTTACTCTATACGTTACTCTACATGTTACTCTACACGTTACTCTACATGTTACTCTACATGTTACTCTACATGTTACTCGACATGTTACTCGACAAGTTACTCAACATGTTGCTCTATACGTTACTCTACATGTTACTCTACACGTTACTCTACATGTTACTCTACATGTTACTCGACATGTTACTCGACATGTTACTCTATACGTTACTCTACATGTTACTCTACACGTTACTCTACATGTTACTCGACATGTTACTCGACAAGTTACTCGACATGTTACTCTATACGTTACTCTACATGTTACTCTACACGTTACTCTACACGTTACTCTACATGTTACTCTACATGTTACTCTACATGTTACTCTACATGTTACTCTACATGTTACTCGACATGTTACTCGACAAGTTACTCGACATGTTGCTCTATACGTTACTCTACATGTTACTCTACACGTTACTCTACATGTTACTCTACATGTTACTCTACACGTTACTCTACATGTTACTCTACACGTTACTTTACACGTTACTCTACACGTTACTCTACATGTTACTCTACATGTTACTCTACACGTTACTCTACATGTTACTCTACTCTACACAATTCTATACAATGATATTTATGACTGCAGTACTTTCTGGACTAAAAGCTCCACCTACATTTTTAAAATACAATCAAAGTTGTCCACATACAGGCAGCACTGGAACATAAGCTGCAGGTTTTCATGTTTAATGTAGCAGAGAGACGATGTTTAAACTGGACACAACAGGATTTAATGACAAGGAAGTTTAACAGTTAGCTTCCATGACTTATTCACCTTCTTCTGTTTTGACAATAAACCAGTGTCCTGTAGCTACTACAACTCTACTACTATAAAGATGCACATATTAGCCACATCGCTATAAAAGCCACAGGGATCAAAAAGTAAAAACTTGTAGTCCAGAAATAACAAATTACGTTATATTTGTATTTTGAACTTTAATTTGGACAATGTGTCCTGCAAAGGTCTCCACATGGCTGTTGGCTGTAGTGTGTTAATGTATTGCGTTGCTGTGTTGTGTTGCTGTATGAGCTAAAGGTCTGAACAGAGCTGACCCCTATGAGTCTGAAGGAACAGAGTCTGCTGTGTCGTGTTGTTTGTTGTGTTGCTGTGTTGTGTAGTGTTGTGTTGTGTTGCTGACCTCCCGTGACGCCTTCTTGACGAACTGTTCGTCGGTGAGCCTGAAGGCGCGGTACAGAGCCTCCCCCAGGTCCTGGTTGAAGCTCTCCTGGTGCACCAGGTTGACGTGCAGGTGTGTGGCTGCGTAGTTCGCTGCGTCCACTCCACCGTGACCATCGAAGACGGCGAAGAAGGCCTGTTCTTCCTGGTCCTGAGCACACACACACACACACACACATTGTTTATCTTCAATTCCTTTCTGTACAACCCTGTATCAGCCTATGGGTCAGTCCCAATTCAGACCCTTGCCCGCCCCTAGATTCTGCTGGTACCCATGGGGTGTAGAGCGTCCAATACGTCCCCATATCTAACAAACAGACAGACTCCCCTGGACCTGGCATTTCCAAAGGTAACGACAACAGCAGTTCTTCTGCACTACAGAGTTATTTCCCTACTCCCATCTACTGGACGGGGTGAAATCAGACACGTGGAAGTTGCGTGTGACGTGGATCACACTTGCTGTGTTAATTTGCAAACTAGGGGTGTTCCATTTCTGAGGAGAATATCAAGGGCCCTTCACTATTGGAGGCACTTTTCCGTTGAGGGAAATCATAACAAGTGTTCTCAGAGCAAAGGTCTGACCCACAGACTGTAAATATTTACAGACGTAGTCACGCCTATCTTTGCCATTTAAACTAATGTGACATCACTTTTGGCTTCTATGGGCCTTTTTCAAAATGGCCGCCGGCAGCCCCTCCCGCAGGAAAATGTGAAAAAATGTGAAAAAACGCATTTGCGTATGCGTTAGCTGCACTAGCCCCATTCATTTCACAAGTGCATTCTGAAGTCCACAGCAACTAAACTAGACTGGTCCAAGAAAAGATAATCCCCTCAGCATCGACAGCTTCTGGAACGTAGCTTTGGAAGAGCCACTTTTGGATCATCCTGTAAAGAGGAGATGCCATACAAAAGCATTGGGTAATTCTAATTCCGGGTACACCCCCACAGGCCCGGAGTGAGATTGCAGTATGTCAGCGCACGTGCTTATGGACGTTTTTGAGCCGGGACCCGTTCCCAGTGGTCTGACCTGTTGTTGTCTCTCTCCCCCTCCCTCCCCCCTCTCTCACCTGTATGTTGAACAGAGAGTTGAAGTCTGGGATGATGATGTGCTTGTCCTCCATCTTGCGCCGCATGTTCTTGATGGCGTGGATGGACGTCTCGTAGTACGGCTGAGGGCGGCGCTGGAACGGCAGCTCCTTCACCCACAGGGAGCATGTCTCGAACAGGACGTTAAACAACAGGCGGGCCAGCTTCTCCGACTCCACCTCTGAGCACAGGGACAGGACAGTCAGGGGGACTCAGAGGGACAAGACAGTCAGGGGGATCACAGGGACAGGACAGTCAGGGGGATCACAGGGACAGGACAGTCAGGGGGATCACAGGGACAAGGCAGTCAAGGGGATCACAGAGACAGGACAGTCAGGGGGATCACAGGGACAGGACAGTCAGGGGGATCACAGAGACAGGACAGTCAGGGGGATCACAGAGACAGGACAGTCAGGGAGATCACAGAGACAGGACAGTCAGGGGGATCACAGGGACAGGACAGTCAGGGAGATCACAGGGACAGGACAGTCAGGGAGATCACAGGGACAGGACAGTCAGGGGGATCACAGGGACAGGACAGTCAGGGAGATAACAGGGACAGGACAGTCAGGGGGGACAGGGGATCTAATGTCATGTGTGAGATGACAGCCTAAAGAACCACTTCTCCATGGAACCAGGATTGGTGAGGTTCACACTTGGTTTTATACTTGAATGTTTTGCCAACATACATACACACACTCATACATACACACATACATACACACACAGACATACACACATACATACACACACACATACATACACTCATACATACACACATACATACACACACATACATACACTCATACACACACACATACATACACACACAGACATACACACATACATACATACACACATACATACATACACACATACATACATACACACACACACACATACACACACACACACATACAACACACATACCTACGTACATACATTTCATAACAATCTTTGCTGATGCAGGAGGGTCTAAGGACAGAGATGATCCAGGACACTCCCTGAGGACCGAGCCTTCTGAACCCTGAGGACCGAGTCTGAACCCTAAGGAACGAGTCTTCTGATCCCTGAGGACCGATCCTTCTGAACCCTGAGGACCGAGTCTGAACCCTAAGGAACGAGTCTTTTGATCCCTGAGGACCGAGCCTTCTGAACCCTGAGGAGAGAGTCTGAACCCTGAGGACCGAGTCTTCTGATCCCTGAGGACCGAGTCTGAACCCTGAGGACCAAGTCTGAACCCTGAGGACCGAGCCTTCAGAACCCTGAGGACCGAATCTGAACCCTGAGGACCGAGCCTTCTGAACCCTCAGGACCTTCTGAATCTTGAGGACCGAGTCTACGCTGCAGCTGCCCTCACTCTCTGAACTCACTCTCAGAACATCAGAAACTCAAGACTCACTACACAACTTTAAATCACTTCTCGAAACCCACCTCTTTCACCTTTCCTTCATTTTCTTCTTCAATGTTTATTTGTATATGTTTTGTACAGAACCTTTAAGTGTCCAAAAAAGCTCTGTATAAGTTTGACATATAGATTACATCATTATTATTCATGATGTTGACACACAAATATACAAAACCAAAGGGAAACATTGAGTGTATATTTACAGATGTGAAAATAGAAGAAGAGGAATGAGACGGAGAAGGAGTTAAAGGCTAAAAATAAACAGACAAAAATAACAATGAAAGTGAAGGGGGAGGGGCTACAAATAGCTCTAATTCCAACCAAGATCATAAACACAATAACAAAACTAACAGTAGATAAAACAATATCACGATGATACACACAAACACACACACGCACACACACACCTCTGACTTTGTAGAGAGTAATACATATGATTCCGAATTTCTTTGAGCCAAAAGCAGTTGTCTGTGTTTAGAAAATAATCAAACCCGTACATGTCTTGTTGTCATACACACAGTTCTCTGGAAGCATCTTTAAAAATAGTTTCAACTCAAAAATTATTCAATCCCAAGTATTCTGGTTTCGCCCTAAATCACAACAACAGTAGTTTTCTCTGAGGACTTTGCAAAACCGTTGATTTTGCCAACACAGATCAGAAAATCACACAAGAAATGCAACGATAGAAAACACACAGAGCCCTTGGTTCATAAATGTTGATAAATGTGAAGCTCCCTGGATCATTTCTGTCCTTAGACCCTTCTGTATCGGCAAAGAACGTCTACACAAATTCAAATCCAGGCTGAAACCATAAGCAACATCTGAAGACTGAGCCTTGGTAGATCTAAATCAGGCACGGCACAATTTCTGAAGAAACTGCAGGAGCATCTACGCTTCTGTCTATCGACCAATCACAGCCATGCTAGGATTCGACACAGACTGACAGACGCTCCAGCGATTGGAAAGAGATAATGAATACTCCAGGGGTTTGAACGACATCTGACATACTCCATTAAGTGCAGGTTTAGTAATCGACCCCTGCTCTAACCAGTGAATTAGAGCAGTCTGTGTGTTTCTGGGTACATTTAATTCCTACATAAACTTTGGGCCGTCCTTATCATTTCTCTAGTTTCAAAAGACATTCAGAGACGTACGAGTTTGCAGTTTTGTTAGTAGCAACTTCACCTCATTCCCAAGTCTTCCTAAATTGCTGTTGCTAACTTTTTCAGGCCTATTTAGTCTCTAAAAGCTTCTATTTCATTAGTTTATAATCAGATATTGGCAAAACAGACATCAATAAAAGTCTCTGCGAAGAGTGATTGGTCACATACAGTTGGGAAAAAAGTATTTAGTCAGCAGCACTTCTCACACTTAAAAAGATCGACTCGACTCTAACCAGTGAATTAGAGCAGTCTGTGTGTGTGATGTCGTCCTGGGCCTCCAGCCTGAGCTCGGCCTCCTGTGTTGGCGTTACATAAGGAGCACGTCTCGCTCTCACACCTGTGTACCCTGGACACACTTCACGTCTCGCCTCACTACACACATGCAGCAGAGAGAGAACACACAACGTTCTGTAGGACTGCGGCCCTTTCTATTCACCGTCCAGTCTTTTCATACATGATTCTCTGAGATGTCGGAGCACTAAGAGAACTCAGTATTTACATTTTTGAACCACAGATGTTTATTCAAAGGCCTTTACAAAATGGTTGAGATGCAGTTTGATGGTAAAAGTGTCATAGTTTAGGTTTATGTCCTGACTTAATTAGTTTAAATCCTTTTGTTGTACTTCCTGTTTACTGATGACCTGCCCTCATGTGTCTCGTTGGTCTTGTGTTTGAGCCCTGTGTGTCCCGTCATTGTCATTCCTTGTCTGTTTTAGTTTCTGTTTTCAGTCCATCTTCATGTTATCAATGGATTTTCATTTGTATTTTATTTTATTAAACCCGTTATTTTTGCAGTTCTATGTTTTGGGGAAATTTTTCTTTTGCCTCTGTGACAAAAAGTGCCTAAAGCCAGGGAAAAAAATAAAAAATGAATCTCTATTCTCTGGCTGTTTGTAAAAAGTTTGGACCCTCTTGACTAAAGTCGACAATGTGCGGCACTGTTAAAAACGGCCGATTGTGTCAAGCAGTGAGTCAACATTCTTTCATTCTGTTTTACTATTTCGCTGACCATTGAGTACAGTACAATGTGAGTTATGTTTTGGTGTTCATGTCCTTGTGATCTTAGTCTGTCGGTAAAAAAAAAAAAAAATATTTCATGAAAATCCACGATTTCCATTTCCATATGAAGTCATAATATGCAAATGACATGTGTATGTAACGCGTGTTAGGGCTAGGGCAGAACGACTGCGAGGTAAGTATGGTAAGTATCAGACATAGGAACGATAGGGAGCCAAGGTGTGAGAATCACAACAACAGGTAAGTTCAGTTTTCATTTAATTATTGTATTCAAGTATTTTTCAATGTTATAGATCAGATATAGAATGATATAAGTTGGTATATAATATATATATGTATTAATGAATAAACAATTATAATATACAATTACAAAAAAAACAACAAAAGGTGAATAAAAAAATAGTTCAAGAGTTCAAAAGAGGTATTCAAGTTCAATGAGGTATTGTTTGTAATTTGTAATCCAAAGGGTGAGGTAAGTATTGTAATCCACAGGGCAGTGTTGAAATGGAAAGGATGTGGGGGTAGGGTGGTTATAGGTTCAGGTATGGGTCTAGTAGCTCGTGGGTTAGCTCGCCATCCTGTGGGGGATCAGAGTCAATGCATATAAAAAAAACCTGACCGTTGAGCGGGTTGTGACAGTGACTATGGCTGAGTGGATCCGGTGGGTCTGTGCTGGTGATGTGGTATGATCAAATGTATCGATTATCTATCACCCAAGACAGGCAGTGAGACCGGCCGGAGGAGCAGGGGTGAAGCTGGCGCTGATGCATGTTTTTAAAGGAAGTTTGACAAAGTAAAACCGGAAGTGGGTGAGTTTGTGACGTGGGTTACATGTAGATTTAATTCCTACATAAACTTTGGCCCATCCTTATAATTTTTCTAATATTCATAAAGCCTCTGTCTCATATCACTTTAAAGTTATTAAGCAATTAAGACGTCAAAATTGAGAAGAAGAAGAAGAAGAGGAAGAAGAACCTCCAGACTCTCACAGACTGTAACTCAAATCGTTTCATGTATTAAACCTGTTTGAACTTGTTCTCAGTCTGAACGACACCTGAACACAACAGTCACACTCCAAACTACACTATGGCCAAGAGCGAAGAGCTGTCAAAGGACACCAGAAACAACACTGTAGACCTGCACCAGGCTGGGAAGACTGAATCTGATCTGTGTCGTTCCCAACACAGATCAGAGAATCAAACTGTTCAAACTCAGGAAACGCAACAATAACAAACACACAGAGCCGTCTGCACATCACTAGAAGATGACTAATGTCCATAAATGCACAAAATACACTCATATCGGCTTTGTCCTTAAAGTGATAGTCTGTAACTCTAAATGAATTACAAATTTTAGGAAATTTTAACCAATGTGTTAAATTGACCTCCTGGCCTTAAATGTTGATATAAAATAAGTCATTTTATTAATTCTAATATTACAGGTAAGTCCCGCCTTCCCTTCTCTTAGCTATAGCTCAGAATCCACGGTGCCGTCCACGTTAACCAATCGAGTCATGCCAAGGGCTGTCAATCATCAGTGTTGATGCTCGTAGCTGCTCATGCTCAGTTGTTTGTTTCACGGAGCCTCCGAATCAAGCCTTTATCAGGCACTGGAACTACATGAAAACTGAACCAAGAATTCTGAACATCTGCGCTGAGGTACTTATGTTTATACTGAACCTATATCCATAATCATTTATATACTGAACCTATATCCATAATCATTTATATACTGAACCTATATCCATAATCATTTATATACTGAACCCATATCCATAATCATTTATATACTGAACCCATATCCATAATCATTTATATACTGAACCCATATCCATAATCATTTATATACTGAACCCATATCCATAATCATTTATATACTGAACCTATATCCATAATCATTTATATACTGAACCTATATCCATAATCATTTATATACTGAACCTATATCCATAATCATTTATATACTGAACCTATATCCATAATCATTTATATACTGAACCTATATCCATAATCATTTATATACTGAACCTATATCCATAATCATTTATATACTGAACCCATATCCATAATCATTTATATACTGAACCTATATCCATAATCATTTATATACTGAACCTATATCCATAATCATTTATATACTGAACCCATATCCATAATCATTTATATACTGAACCTATATCCATAATCATTTATATACTGAACCTATATCCATAATCATTTATATACTGAACCTATATCCATAATCATTTATATACTGAACCTATATCCATAATCATTTATATACTGAACCATTATCCATAATCAGATCCTCTGCAGATGTGTCCTATAATGTGCAGTTCATGATAATAGCTTGTTCCGGGTTTGCCGCGATTGCTTTTTTTGTGCATAAAAACATTATTTTTTTCATTAAAACGTTCACAAATAATTCTGAAAACCTCCGTGCATGTGTATTAATAATGTATAAGTATAATGTGTTCTCTGATTAACATTTAACTCATTCACTGCCAGCCATTTAAAAAGCAGCATCCCTCATACTGCCAGAGATTTTGGACATTTTTAGTGTTTTTCCGAACCGCATAGAAATGTGAGCCCTTGGTTGACACAAGTATGAAACATATCAAATGAAAGCTCTATCCCTTGGCTTTCATTTTAAAAAAAAGTAAGTTTCTAACCTTTTTAGTTTTTTAGCAATTGAGAGTGCAACATAGGTAACTTTCACACAAAATGCTGTTTCCTGACCAAGATTTGGAGAAAACAGCCTTTTTGTGAAACGCGCATTTTCAAGCAGAAAAGTGGTTTTTTTTGTCTTTACTGATATTTTACAATGTATGACAGTTTCTTACTATGACACAAAACAGAAACAATACTTTGAATTGTATTTTTAATGTATAATTATTTTTAAACAAATTAAACGTGTACACACAATACACTCAAAGGATTGTCTTATGTACACATAAAATATTCAACTTGTATACAATAAAAACACTTTGTATACAAATATACAGTAAAAATAACACTTTTTGAACACTTTGTGAAACAATTTTACTTTAGTTTATAAAGAATAGTAATTGGGTGACCCCACAATCTGCTGAAGTGTGGGATCTACTTCATCTGCACTCCCAATACATTTCCAGATTCGTTTTTTTTTACAAACCCAGAGAGAAATGTCAAACCAAAAAAGGTTTTTAGCTGCTAGACTGTCACTGGGTTCCATGCATTTTCTCTGCTGAATGGGAGACGCTGTGTGTGTGCACTGAAATATTGTGCTGCATACAGCTTTGTCTGTTCGACAACAAGATCCAGGTCCAGAAGTTCATCAGTTATGAAGAGCTGCAGAAGTCAGCTGCTGATCCAAATCAAGCTCTGCTGCAGCATTTTGGGGTCCTGGGGTCAACAATCTACAACACAAAGGAAAATATAAAATCACCATACATTTTCACATTATAACAAGTGTTTTGGCTTCAGCAGCAATGACATTGAGATAAAAAAAAAACTCTTCAATATTCGCTAAAAACGTTACTTTATGTTTATTTTTACTATAGTATAAGCCAGTGATTGCTATCACTCCGTCCAGAATCTCTCAATGTTTGAACGCAAAATCATGCAGACTCTGGGATCAGAGCAACAGAGTCAGTCTCTCTCCCTGTTCCAAAGCAGCAGCGGGCGCGCTCCTGACGCACCCTCCACAGTGACCCCCCGACTCCACCGGGCGCGTCTCCGTTGACGCGCGTTGGCTGCTGTCCGTCAGCCGTCCGTAAAACGGACCAGTGGTCAAACCGGCTGCAGCAGCATGCAACTCTGGCTGTGCGTTTATCAGCCTGCTTTATTTTTGTAGGAGACATGTTTGGGCATTGTGTGAATGAATGAATGTTTGGCTGATGGAGGAGTTATGTATTGTCGGCGTGCATGTGTGCGTGAGCGTGTGCGTGAGAGCGCCCGTGTGTGTGTGTGTGTGTGTGGTGGGAGGCGTGTGCGTGCATGTGTGTTTGGGTCTGTGACTGCAGCGTTTATTATGATCCAGCCTCTTCGTTTGTTTTCTACTTATTTAGCGCATGATACACTTTTATCGGAGCCAACTCGCCTCTCTGCGGCTTTAGGCAACAGGCAGAGCTATAGTTTTTAATAGAAGAAGCAGTGTGTGATGTGCATGAGCTGTGGCTATGATCAGTGCAAAGCACAGCATATTGAAGCATTGAGGACGTCGCGATGGATGAGGCAAAACTTATTGAAAGCAATTGGAAAAAGGGGAGAGAGAAAAGAACTCCAACATATCCAGTGTTGTGAGATCTGTCTCTCATAAGTGCAGCTCTGTGTGTGTCTGTCTGTCTGTCTGTCTGTCTGTCTGTCTGTCTGTCTGTCTGGGAGCGCGCGGCGGTGAGGAGAGAGCGCCTCGGAGGTAGACGGGACAGAAGAGCGAGGTGTATGTAAAGATTAACATTACGCGAAAAATAAATGGTAGATTTACGATCAGGAAACAATTATTTAAATTAATACATGAAAAACATTACACACGTTTGTTAATAATCATTGTCATTAACAAATACTTATAACCAAGGACTACAGCATATATCAATACATGTTTAACAATGTTGTAAATATATTATTCCATTGCATTTTCAATGGAAAACGGACCCGACACGCGTCGACGGACGGAACAAATAGGATTGTTTCTATTTCGTCCGTCCACGTCTTTTGCACCCTCCGTTGACGGAATAGGTCCGACGTGCGTTGGACGGACGCATGCGGAGGCAGTGGAGCCACTTCCATTCACCCTCATGGAGATAACGGAGACGGAGATGAAACGGACATGTTTGGACGGATCCGTCGTCCGTTTTACGCGCCCGGTGGAGTCGGGGCCCAGACGCACCACAGCAGAATGCACATGGTGCGGTAAATCTAACACTTGTTGCTCATCATGGATCACCGGTCTGCCATGGATCACCTTCCCCTGTCCCTTCTATAAACCACACGGTAACATCATCCATAGCTCCCTGGCAGCTAATGCTGCATGCCAAACTCACACGCCTCCAAACTCAAGAGAAACTTTTGGAAAAATGTCCCGCGTAATCAAGCATTTTACCCCGCAATAATCATTCATCAATCAACAATTGCGCGCAAATCCTGGAGGGGCTGATAGTACATTAGACAAAGGGGAGAAATAAACTCGTAAATGCAACATGTTGAAGTGAAAAGCAACTTACCACATGATGACGGGGGGAGGAGCCGCTGCTGCTGCTGCTGCTGCTGCTGGACGAGGAGGGAGGGAAAAGCCTCCGAGGATCCTGGAGTCTCTGAGGTTAACTAAAACCTGAAGAACTAGGATCGTGGCATCTAGCTGCTTCATATTGATCCGTTTGATGACTGAACAGGCTCTCAAACAGCGTTAGTTGCGTGAGCTTCTCAGATCCGCGATCCTCTGTGTAAGCATGGCTGCTCCTCTGGCTGTTTGCTGCTCACAGCACCACATGCCCCCTTCTCCCTCCCTGGATCTGGCCACAGTGTCACCTCTGCCCCCTACAGGATCGGTTCCAAAGTGTTTACAGGTCTGAAATGTTGACACAGGATGCACAAGAGCCTTGACGAGCCATAGAAAGAAAAAAAAAAAAAAAAAGCGATTGACGTCTATAGACGTCAATGGCAGTGAATGAGTTAAAAGTGTTACGGAAACGTTGGCGTAGACCAATCAGAAAGGAAGGGGGAGGAGCTTGCGTCGTTTTTTTTTCAAATCAAGCACCTCTGTCTCTCTTTCTGGCAAACTCCAGACAATCACTTTAATAATTACAGAACTGAAGTCTTCTCTCTGATTTCTGATGTTGTAGACAAACCCTGGTCTGTCTCTGTGCTCTCTTTGGGCTCTTTGTAGAACCACCCTCTTGCTCCAAATCAGGGAGAAACTCTTTTAAAACTCTTCTATGACTTTAATGTCAACAAGTGTCATTCTCCTGAAGTGGAAGTCTCCTCCGTCCTGGACTCAGAGGCTCAGGGATCAGAGAGGACCATGGACTCTCAGAGGGACTTCCTGTTTCCTGTCTGAGGACCAGTGACTCACTCGTCTTGTGTATTTAAACCCTGTGCGTTCCTTCGCTCCCTGTTCTGTCATTGTCATTACTTGTCTGCTCAAAAATAATGGATTTAATAACACAAAATACAAATGAAAATCCAGTGATAACACAAAAAGTAACCAAAGACGGACTGAAGACAGGAACTGTTTTAGTTCCTGTCTTCAGTTTGTCGATTATTTTTTATTTTTTTTTATTAAATACATGATTTTATTCGTTTTGAGTTATTTTCCTTTTGCTTCCATGACACAGATTGAACACACCGAATCTGTTCTAAGTTTTTGACAATCGAGTTATGGTAGAATTGGAGAATGTTAAGTTCAGTAGAACACGCTATATTTATCTGTTCTTCTTAAATGAGTCATTGGACTTTTTTTCTTTTATTTCTCTTTTTGTATTTTTCTGTGTCTTTGTGTTGTGTTTTGAGTCCGGAATAAAGATTATTATTATTTTTACTAACATATTTACAGTCATGTTGATCAATGTGTACTGTCCCTATTTTAACTAATAATAACAAATATATATCTCCTCTGACAGGAATTGAGCGGGGACAGGTGTGAGTGTATCTTGGATTTTGTGAGACTCACGGGGAAAGTCCACTCCTTCCTGGGTCCGGCTAAGAGGCGTCATGTCCATCTGCAGGACCCCGTCTGCTGTGGCCCGGGCCAGGGCAGCGGCCAGCGAGCACGGGCAGTTACTGTGGACACAACACCGAGTTACTAATGTGGACCACACACACACACAAACAAACAAGTACACACATTCTGCAGGCGAAGGTTGGCAAGAACAATACAAGAGACAAGAGAGCCCTGTGTCATTATGTGGGCAGGATGAAACTCAAACCATTGAAAGTTTGTTTGTTGGTTCTGTGACTGTGTGGTTCAGCAACATCACAAAGAAAAGAGACCAGAGAGAGACCAGAGAGAGACCAGAGAGAGATGCCAGAGAGACCAGAGAGAGACCAGAAATAGAGACAGAGAGAGGGAACAGAGAGAGACCAGAAAGAGACCAGAGAGAGAATAGAGAGAGACCAAAAAGACCAGAGAGAGAGAGAGAAAACAGAGAGAGACCAGAGAGAGAATAGATAGAGACCAGAGCGAGAGCACAGAGAGACAGACTAGAGAGAGAAGACAGAGAGAGACCAGAGTGAGACAAAAGAGACCAGAGAAAGAGACCAGAAATAGAGACAGAGAGAGAGACCACAGAGAGACCACAGAGAGACTTAGCTTCATGCAGAAATAGGAGCAGACGTGTTGCTAAGACGGTTGCTAAGGAAATCTAGAGCTTCCCAGTGAATAAAGGCATCTGATTGGTCAATCCTTATAAGGCTCATATCTGGATTTACAAAGAAAACAGCAGGATTCACAGAGACTCGCTCTCAGCCCCAGTGGTGAGCGCGACACAAGCAATGACTTAACTAGAGGAGTTTACTTTTCCATCAAGTCGATTGGAGCCAAAACAAGATGGAAAGAAAGGGTTAGCCTCGTCCATTTCTAAACAGTCTGAGTCTAAGACGAGATCCCAGATGTGCTCCCATTTGTGTCAATCCCCTGAGGTCCAAACCCTGTGCTCATGTGTTAGGCTCAGCAGCTCATTCAGACAGATTCATAATGGTGCTTTTGTTCTGGTCCATTCTGTGAGGACGTACAGTACCATCACATTAGTCCAGAGGAGCACAGGGACTGGCCTCCTGCAAGGACTCTGAGGAGCATAGGGACTGGCCTCCTGCTGGGACTCTGAGGAGCACAGGGACTGGCCTCCTGCAGGGACTCTGAGGAGCACAGGGACTGGCCTCCTGCTGGGACTCTGAGGAGCATAGGGACTGGCCTCCTGCTGGGACTTTGAGGAGCACAGGGACTGGCCTCCTGCTGGTCCCAGAGTCAGGACTACAGATTGGAGGCAGCATTCCAGACCCATGAACCACAAATCTGGAGCAATCTTCCTGAAGGAGTGAGACAGGCCGCTGACTATATTATATAAGTGTTATTTTTAGTCATGCTTATAATTGATCATCATCAGGCTGCGGCTCAACCAGGTTTTTAGCTTTTTTTGCCATTTGTATGTTTTTTTTTTTTACAGTGTTTTATTTGTATTTATTGATTTATTAAAGGGACAGTGCATATTAATATACATCATACATGTAAATATGCCAGAATTAGCCTAAGGGCTATTTTCCATCTGTAGTCCCAGTGTGTTTTTAGTTGGTTTTAAATTTGGGCCATGTGAAGCACTTTGGGTTGGGATCAAAAGAACGAATTATCAAAATATTTTAGCGGCAAAGCAGCAGCAGCAGCAGCAGCAGCACCAGCAGCAGCAGCACCAGCAGCAGCAGCAGAAACAGGTCAGAGCCTATATTTAGAGACCTGTGGAGCTTTCTGCATTTTTCCACCACAGTTTTGGGCAAGGACCGTGTCTTTGAAGGAGTCATGTGTTTGAATCTCATCTGTGTCGTCTGTTTGTCTGAAGGATCCAGGACACTCCACAATCAACAAGATTTATGGACTTTTTAATTTTTTTATTTCACCTATAAGTAGCAACAAGTAAGATATTCATTTCAAGTCGTCATTAAAGGGCCCTAATCTGTCATCATTAAAGGGCCCTAATCTATCATCATTAAATGGCCCTAATCTGTCATCATTAAAGGGCCATAATCTGTCATCCTTAAAGGGCCCTAACCTGTCATCATTAAAGGGCCCTAATCTGTCATAATTCAAGGGCCCTAATCTTTCATCACTAAAGAGTCCTAATCTGTCATCATTAAAGGGCCCTAATCTGTCATCATTCAAGGGCCATCTGTCATCATTAAAGGGCCCTAATCTGTCATCATTCAAGGGCCCTATCTGTCATCATTAAATGGCCCTAATCTGTCATCATGAAAGGGCCCTAATCTGTCATCATTAAAGGGCCCTAATCTGTCATCATGAAAGGGCCCTAATCTGTCATCATTAAAGGGCCCTAATCTGTCATCATTCAAGGGCCCTAATCTGTCATCATTAAAGGGCCCTAATCTGTCATCATTCAAGGGCCCTAATCTGTCATCATTCAAGGGCCCTAATCTGTCATAATAATAAACTGCTCTTTTCCAATACTTCTTTAACTGATAACAGTAGTTCAGAGATATTTGACTTTCAAAAAAATTTAGTCAGTTTTGTTATTTTCGGTTATTTTCATTTCGATATCCCACCCTCCACCGTTTCACCAATCAGAAAGTCTGTGATCCAGGTGCCAGAACTCACCGCGTGGAGCTAATCTCACTGGTAAAGACTTAAAAAAGGTCTCGTTATGATTCTCAAATCATTAACAACAAAACAAGGAATAAAACCAGGATTTTTATCTTTGTGAAAAAGGTGTTGGTTATAGATTTGTTGTTGACAAAACTCTTGTCTATTCAGCTGTTATGGTCCCAGCTGGATTCGTCTGCATATCTGGCAACCTGAGTCAGGGAGAGTGTGAGAGGCTGCAGTACCACTTTTGACCACATTTTTACATACTGCTCCTTTAAACAGGAAAGTCGCATTGAGATTAAGAAGCTCTTTTATAAAGGAGTCCTGGACATTTATCAACATTTAAGGACATTGGTCTCTGCTCCTTATGGACCAATGGCTCTCTGTGTTTTTCATCGTTGCATTTCTTGTGTTTGAAATGTTTGATTCTCTGATCTGTTGTTGGCAAATCGACAGAAGTCCTCCTTGATAACAACTGTGGTGATTTTGGGCTGTACAAAAACAAAATTCTAAATGAAAAGATAGTTGCTTTGACTAAATCATGGTGAAGAAAACATCTGCACTTTGATCGTTTCATAAATTAATTGTCTTTGTAAAATAGGTCTCCTTTAAGTTAGTATTTGACGCACAAAAAAGATGGAAGAGAAACTGTTTTCTTCCCACAGTGGAGACATTTCAGTGACAATAATCAGACCACACAAGGAGCACACAAAACACAAAGTAGTTGTGTCTGTCCCATAGACTGTATATAAATGCTAACCCGCTAGCTCAATGAAGCATCATAGGGAAGTGCTCTTGGATCAAGTTTAAGCTGCAGTCAAGGATTTATCCAGACGCAATATTTTAAAATAGTTTGGGGAAACGTCCCTAAACCCCAAAAGTTGTCAAGTCATCACGTGTTTTCAAATAGGAATGGACCAGACGCCTGTAGCCTCAAAAAAAAAAAAAAAACACATATTTTAGAGCACACTGATAGAAAGAAACCAGTCATCTGTCTGAGTTTTTTGTGGCCGAACAAAAAACCCCCAAAGAGACAATTTCAACAACAAGGCGTTGTATAAGACTCAGACGTCAGGCTCTGTAATGCTACAGGTTAAAAGCAGTTCTGTTTAGCTGTGCATACAACTGCAGGGATTTTATATTTTCATCTTAATGTACTGTGATTTTTTTATGATTTTAATGCTATTTTGTTCAGCACTTTGCCTTGTGTATGTATTGTGCTATAAAAACAAACTTGCCTTGCCTTGCTATACGGCTGTCGCGTTTGGCTAATTGCTGGTCTGTTTAGAGCGAATCACTCACAGACTTGAGCCTAATGTAGAGCAATACTTTCACATTTCACTGTACAGTAGGCTTTGTCACAGACTGCGTTATTACAGAAACTGAATGACTCTACAATAAGTCACTTTAAGTCACTAATGCACTAGGACTAAAAACCTGCACTACTATAGCTACTGTTTCTTTAATTGTCATTTTTTTATTTTATTGTACATAATATATCCTGAACAGACTCTAACATGTGCTGGGGGTTGGGTTTGGTGGAGGGCAGGGGGGAGTGGTTTTGAAGCTAACCGGCATCATTTACTGCCCCTTTAAGCTCCATCTGGCCCTGACTCCCATTGACTTCCATTGAAAAGTAAACTGTGTGATATTAATACAGAGAGAATGAGCCACAGTCACTGCAGACGAAGCATGACTCAGACCTGAAGAAAATCCAACTACGTTTCCCAAATCGAAGAATCCACAAAAACACACCCACTTGTTTAGTAACGCAGCCGTCTGGTATCGCAGCTCCTCTCAGCCCAGTGCTATGTGTGTGTAAGTAAGTAATGTTTAGTTATATAGCGCATTTTACAGACCGAGCTTGCCCAAAGTGTTTTACAGAGTTCAGATATTTTTACATTCTCTTGACACGGAGATGACAGAAGCAAGACGCCGAACACACTGGACCATTATAGCCTCCGACCAAACACCATTCACTCACTCATTACATTCAAGATTCATTCAACCCATTGTATAAGTTTTTAGTGGTAGGGGGAAATGGAGCACCTGGAGGACACCCACGCAGACACTGGGAGAACATACAAGAGTCCACACAGAAAAGCCTGGAGGTGGAATCAAACCCAGGACCTTCTTGCTGTGAAACACAAGCTCTAACTGCTGTGCCACTGTGTGTGTGTGTGTGTGTGTGTGTGTGTGTGTGTGTGTGTGTGTGTGTGTGTGTGTGTGTGTGTGTGTGTGTGTGTGTGTGTGTGTGTGTGTGTGTGTGTGTGTGTGTGTGTGTGTGTGTGTGTAATGGGGGGGTCCGGTCTTTCCCCGAGTTCATTTGAGTGGAGCAGGATTAAAGATGTATAATCTGCACAGCTCTGAGTAAATAATGTTAATGCTCTGTGTGTGTGTGTGTGTGTGTGTGTTTGTGTGTGTGTGTCTGTGTGTAATAATAATAATGCATGGGTTGTATACAGTGCTTTTC